TTTTCGTGTAATTGTTGGTACACAAAATCAATGGTCTCAATTAACGGTACAATGGTAAACAGTGAAGCTACATCTAAAGACATAACACGTTTAACATTTAAATTCATATATTCCACTTTAGAAATGAAATCGAAGACATCCTTCACACTTCTGTTGACAACTAGTTTATGTAATGGATTTAGGATTCGAACTAGCCACTTTGCAGTATTGTGATATGGAGAATTATACATATCTAAAACTGAGCAAAGAGGAAGACCAGTCTTGTAAACTTTAGGTAAACCATATAGTCGCGGTGTGTTCGATCCAGTGGGTTTGAGTGAGTCGTGTGTGTCAGAAGTAAGTATACCTTTATTTTTCAATTCCTTTAGTGAGTTAGTCAGCAATTTTTATGTTAAAACAGATCCATATTAGAAAAGGTTTTTGTGAATATTATAGTAATTTTATTAGTTGAGATCATAGGGCGATTAAAGCTAAACGACCATGGAAAACCTGGAAGTACTGGACGGTCGTTTCATCTGTTGTGAAATAATAACTCACTGAAGACAATGGCGTACGGTGGCGCAATTTTGTGGGTTGGTTGAAGTTAGATATTAACATCGTTGGATGCCGACCAGCTCAGTGGTCTAATGGTAAAGCACTCGCGCGTGAGACTTATAGGTCCTGGACTTGAATCTCGCGGGGTGGCATCGTGGATGTGCATTTCTGAGGAGTCCCATACTAGGACGAAACGGTCGTCAAGTGCTTCCAGGTTTTCCATGGTGGTCTAGCTACAACTGACTCATGATTTCAACTTTTGTAATATTCAGATAAATATTATAATTAGAATATTAAATATGCCGGTTTCATCGCAGACCAAAAAATTCCACATAATACACACAAACAAAACATAAATGCTTACACACATTCATTTGGAAGGTGACTGCTTAAATGACCAATCTCAATGATGAATGCATGAAAAATTAAAGTTACGTAACAGAATATTTCAATAGAATTGATTCTGACTAAGTGTTTGTTGTGGATAATTTAAGATTTGCTTTAAATTTAAAAGTACGTTAGAATTCATTTAAAACATTTACTAACTACTCAGCAACCAGAACATCATGAGTTTGACATAGATTAAAGTTGTAGATGTACACTGCTAACAAGTTTCACTTTAAGATAAAACAATGAATGACTATCATTATAATTGAAAAAATTCCCACTTCCTAAAAAAAATCATTCATGATCTACAAGAGTATAAACACCTAAATAAGAAAAATTTACTCCCACTAGTTTTTTTTAAAAATTACTTTGAAGTGTAAATAACACATCAGTCCTTTAACTGAAATAGAGAAATGTCCTTGGTTTGAATCCCGTGTGTGGGATCGTGAATGTATAATGCTGAAAAATCCCATATCGGAACGAAATGGTCGTCCATTACTTTCAGGTTTTCAATGATAGCATAACATTTATCTGTTCATGATCTCAATTGAAATTCAACGATCTTCACAACCCTATACTGACAGTTCTAACTATGAATAAAGGATATAAATTCGAAATCCTTGCTTAAAACTAAATACCTGCTAAAATAAGGTTCATTGGACTGATATTATAAAATAACTGAATCGTTGACAATGATTATCGTATTTCATAAATACAAACTTCTGTTAATAAATAATAATAAAAAAATTTATAAACTCTTTCATCAATTTCAATAGTTGAAATAATGAGTCAATTGAAGCTAGACCATCATGGAAAACCTGGAAGCACTGGACGGCCATTTCGTCCTAGTATGGGACTCCTTCAGCAGTGAGCATCCACGATCTCGCCCCCGCGAGATTTAGACCCAGGACCTATCAGTTTCGCACGTGAGTACTTAACCATTTTATCAATAATAAAATTTTTTAAATTCATTTTTAAGTATCTAACATAAAACTTAAAATATTTACGTCAGTTTACTTGAAAAATGAAAATGTATATTTAGTTCGCTTATTTATTATTTTTTCCGGCAAAATTAGTTTTGCATAGAAATTCATGTGAATAATAAATAATGTGTGATTACATCATCAATTAAGAAATAAGACTTATCATTATATCACATGATGAATAACATGTTTATTTAAAATATACTCATTTGTTTAATATTAAGTTATCTAATTGAAATTACTAAGAGTTCATGTATGACGTTATTATTATTATTCACTTGGTGTTGTTTTGCTTGTATCTTCCCATTGAGTTTTTAAGACTGCAATTGATCAGTCTGTTATTGGAATATGTGCATACTGTGTGTATGCCTCGATATTGCCTTCATTCACAAGCTTTTATAAGCAATGATGGATAGTGGCTAGCAGTGGAATCCAGGACGCGTGTTTCGTTACACAAGCAAGTGGCTATCAGGATTCAGTAGCTAAGTAGATAATGCGATGGCGTTTGAAGCGAATGGTACTGAGTTCGAGTCCCAGAGTGAACATCAACTCTGAGATGCAAGTATATCCAGCTGTTGAGTCCCAAATAGGACGAAACGCGCGTCCTGGATTCCACTGCTAGCCACTATCCATCATTGCTTATTATTATTATTGTCATTACTATTATTATTATTATTACTAATCAGCGCGTACAGATACTCAATTTAAAACCATTATCACCAAAGTAACACAAAAGCAAACCAATTTTCATTTTATAATTCTATCTAAACTAATCAGATAGAAACTATTTAATTTGAGAAATAATATAAAATAAATACGTTTTCATAATTTAATTATTAAAGATTAACCAACTAATCACATTATATTTGTTAGTATTAATTATATTAATCATATGACTTATTACAAATGTAAATTTAATTGTTATTCATTTGTAAATATTATATATACCATAGAATTTTTGTATTAGTTCAAACTATTACAATCAGTATAATAAGAGAAAATAAAAGAAAAAAAGAAGAAAAATTCTAAATAACAGTATCAATGATAATGAAAAATTCAATACATATAAAATTTTGTTCGAAGTGACAAATAAGATCAAATGAATAGTATCTAATTTTTTGATCGAGATCATGAACCGATTGATGTTAGACTATCATTGTAAACCTGGAAACACTGATGAAACAGTCCCACAATAGGATGAAACAGTGGTCTAACATCAATCGTTCCATGATAATAATAATTTCCACAACCTCTATACTGAAAAGTATCTAGCTAAAAAAGCTCAGATATAAGTTTATCCAAAATGTTATGAACAATTTTGTGCAATGTGATAAAATTACTTCAACAGTAGATTACATTATTCTCATGAATATCTACAACATAGAATAGAAAAACAGATAATTCGATAGACTGATAACATGTTTTGACCAAATCACTATTAACCTTTTTTCAAACCTACATCTTCGTTGGCTAGCTAGGTATCCTGATAGACAATAAATGGGAGTGTATCTTGATCTATGAGACCCAACAGGTATACAACCTGGTTGCCCAGTTTTAAAAATACAACAGTATTTTTGTATAGTTTATTGTCAACAATCTTTACAGTGATAATTTGAATTTTTTAGGTATTCAAAGTTTCGTCAGTCAAACAGATTTTCTTGTTACTTGGATACTCTTACGATAATCGTTTTCCTGATCTTCTTCTGAACTCATCTTCAGTTTTCTTATAAATTTCGGTAATTGGGACTTCTAAATTTCACTTACAAACAATGGTACAAAATCTTTAGTAAACAGAGATTTTTGCTGAAGAGCTTAAATTTGGATTCTATAAGATGCAGGATGTCACTTTTTGCTAATCTACAAATTTATGTATTTTTTATGATTTAAATTCACATATAGTACCACTAAAATGTAACTAATCCCTAGCCAGATCATGCATCAAGCGGAGTCGTTTTATGCTAGACAGCAGATCACTGAATGTTAAAAATTACCGAGCCTCGTCAAGGTCAAGGATAACCAACGTTAACTAGTCATCTGCATGCCATGAATAGCCCAATGAAGCGGCGGCCCCACTCTTTCCTAATCTGTTACTAATACATGCTTTCGTTCCAGTAAGATTCTATTTGATCTGTACAGTTTCCAAGGAAGCCAAATCATCTGAGCTGTGTTAGGAGTCAACCACAAAGTATGGCTTTAACGTAGGCTAGGAGCTCATACTATTCCCATTCAACTCGAGTAAACCCATCATCCACTTTTACACTTGAAAGTTCTTGTGTCATCAATAGGGAATTTTGAGAATATTCAAAAATTCCGTATAATTACATTATCTCTAGTAATTTACACAAATATATGTAAATGCAATGGTATAAAACAAATAAACATAATAAATCACAGAGTTAAATATGGTAGTTTTGCTAAGCTAATGTTAGATAAAATTTGGTACGCAGTGCAAATTTGACACTATACTCTGATCTATTTTTAAAAAACCATGTTTTCATTGTTTTTATGTACAAAAAAAAAGAGACAAATAAACATTCCAAGATCGTACCTTTAAAGAAAACAGTCTGTTTTTAGTACAATTTAGTTGCGTAATTAATTATCTAGCATTACTAAATGGTATTTAGGTCAATTTGTTATATACTAACCACAAAGAATCAATAAATTACCAATCTAGTTCAATTTATTAGTAATTATATTACTGCGACAAATGATTAGTTCATGTGTAACTGCCAAAGAAATTATATTGACAGAAATGTTTACCTTAGATCTCTTCAGTGTTCTAATGACCCATATCCCTAGCAGAATACAGTGCTCAATAATTCAATCCCAAGACATTAGGTAAATCCATTGAAATTTTTCGAGATGATTGAAAAACAGATAAGTTCTAGCCTTTCCGAACTTCTTGAAGATATGTTTTTTCAAAACTTGATTTTTATATAACACATTTATTTTTAAAATTTATTTTAATCATTTTTAACTGTATTTGTACCTATTCTATACTAATCTGATGTATTATTAATACCAAATTCTAATTTCATTTCATGCTAAATATCATTTGAAATCGAAATATGACAGGTTGTACGTGGTCGATGAGAACTTAAATTAGAAAAACCCACTGGAAACAAGATAGAAGTGAACAATTATTTCGTTAGAGTTTGGCGAATCTTTATAATTACTCACATACAAACCAACCCCATAAACTTCTAGTCTCGTGATAATGACATTGCTTTGACCCACTGAGTTACAATATTATCGTTCATGTGAACAACTTCAGTAAATTCGCAACATATTTTTTTTAAATAACCTCTCGTTATTATCAATAGATAACCGCTTCCTTTCCGGTATACTTGATTCACAATGATCAATAACGGGTTTCATTATATTAACAGAGCCGGTAGCACTGGATTTTTGTAAAACTATACAGAGAACCGAATGAAATTAGAACAGTAAAACACAAGGTTTGAACTGATTAAGCTAGTAATATCATAATAACAATGAACGAAGAAAAAACTGCACTCGAACTCGTGCAGAGTCATGTGTACACATTGTTAAAGAATCTAAAACTATGGTAAAATAACTCCTCAATATTCAGTGGTTCCAGATAGTTCTACAACTGGTATACTATCCGTGTATAAATAGACTATTGTTCTTTTCTTTTTATTATTCTATATTTCAAAAGATGATGTACAACAGAAACAAAAATTACGAAACTATTGCATCAAATAGATTATACAAGCCTAGATAATCTAAAATAATCGTGTAAGTGTACTTCCTTTTTTATCATAAATATAGTACATAGATGACAAAAAAAGTACCAAGATATAAATATAAAGTTATGTAGATTAATGGGAACTTTAAAAAATCAGATACAATAATATCTGGCCGGAGTAGGACGAGAAATTTTGTTTTGGATAAATAACTAAAATAATTCTCTGTAAAATAAAAAAAAAACTAATGATCTGATTGGGGAAAGAGATAGATAAGCAGATAAAGAATTAAAACCACACCTCGATGTTCAAAAAGTAATTTTACATTATTTTTTCTGGAAAATAAAGTCAATAACACAGTTGTTCGTTCATACGCCAAAAGAAAATACAAAAAAGCAATAAAAACATTAAGTCAGACAAACCAGAAACAAATGAAATACATGTAGATAAGAAAAAAAAGGTATTTAAATCGACTTCTCATGACAAGCAATGTCCAAACAAGCTGAACCTACAACAACATCATACTATAGTTAATTACATCATATAAAGTGTTAGTTACGTGATCAATCAAGAAATTACAAATAAAACAATAACAAAAAATCGTGTACGCACCAAAGAACAATATATGAATATAAATACTATTGCGTAATATATAGTGTGTAAAGATGGACGGATACATTTGGAAAGGATTCAAATTAGATAAGTAAAATGATTAGCTTAAAAAATACATTGGACAGAAATACGAAATAAAATATTCTAAGAACAAAAATATTTCTAAGCAAAAATATATTCTACATACATAGGGTATGGATTTCGGTAGTTAGTTGGTTATCCAACAGTAATTAAGTAATGTGGTATTCGATGTTATTCAACCACCAAATAGAATAACTACAGTACATATAAGGCGGCAAACTAAATTTCTTTCAAATTACTACAACTCTTTTATAGAAAAATATACATGTATATCTTCATCAATTAATAGTAAGTGAAAAGAAGAACGCGGAATAGTAATACAGAAACAGACAAAAATCTTTAATTATGAAAGGGAAAAATAATCACATATTGACTAGAATGGCAGAACAAAAAACAGATCTGATTTTGTCTTCGTATTTGTTTGATTGATTAAAATAGAAAAATGAAAGAATCACTAGTGATAATTATGTTAGAAGAAAAGAAATAAAGATGAATGGTTATCAATAAAAGAAAATAATAACTATAACAAAATAAACGCACGCTAAAATGGATTGTTTGGAGCGCTGAAATACGAGTGAAATGTATTTATCTATTGATCCATAGTATAAAAAAAGGAAAACAAAAAACCGATAGACTTTATAATTACAGCATTTTTTTACACAGTTTCAAAATAAATTCGTAATAGACAATGATTTAGATTGTTCAGGTAATTTGTTCGGTTCTTGTAAAACAGAAGTTGTTTTCCCAAGAGTGCATAAAGCTTGCATTACAGCTAGGAATAAAAAAAGAAATAGATTAGAATATATTGTAAAACAACATATAGATAAAATAGACAAGAAGTGAAATAATAATATATTTGTATACAACACATGATCAAATAAATCTCTCCTGAAAATTAGCTATAAACAGCCTTCAGTTAGTTAAACGCATTGGTCTAAGTTGTCCAACTACATCAGTACAGTGAGATAAAAATTATCAAATTAAGTACCAGAATAGAAGTGGTATAAGCAGGAAAAGAGAATATGTTTTGAAAAGAGTGGGTTTATTGAATGATGGATAAAAGGTCATTTTAAAATGCAATTCCTAAGGGAAGACAAGAAGTGATAGTATCTACATCATTGTAGCCGATTATAGCCCATTGGACCGAACGTGTTCAACCATTGTTACGATAATTGCACGGACTCTGACCAATTACTCTACACTAACCAATAATCAAGGACTTCGTGATCTCACGCAACGTTTTAGTTTGATCATCCTATCTTTCTTCCAGCCTAATCCTAAACGTCGCGTGCATGTTGAAGTAGGTAGGGGATAAGCATATGTAATAATAATAAAGCGTCCCACAATCAGTGTAACAGTAATGATTGATAAACATTGTAAAATCCCTTAGTGAAGAAACTAATAAAACTTCTGGTGTTAAACTGGTATAAATAATCAAATAAATAATAAGTGAATTTCAAACAAAAACTAGAAAACAAGTCAGAGATAGCATTGCACTCAATAAAGTTGGGCCGTACAATTGATTACAATGGCACAAGAATCCTCCATAAAGGTTTTGTTTTTTACAAAGAGAGACTGACAGAAGCTATATACGACCAAAAAACGTTTTCTTTCACCTCCGATCCACTTACGCATACATATAACTGTTATCTTAACACACTTTTCTCTACACACCAGATTTCTCATATGCGCAAAAGCAAATTCTTGCTTTCAGCATTGTTAACATGATTGGATGATCTATTTAGTACACAGTTAACAAGAGAATCATGTACTAATTTATATTCGATAATTCTGATGTTTGATTATATTCTCTTGAAAAAGCTTAAATTAGATTGCTAAGCGAGACGTTGAATTTACTTAAGATTCAATCGCTAAGATTTTACAAATATAATTTTTCTCCTTAATGCCTTACATTAATTCGGCGCTGAACTACTATGAAACTATTTGGGGGAAAAGCTCTTGAAAACAACAAATAGTACTTTTAAATATAAATTTGTACCATCAAGGAATCTTCACAGCTTCCCAACTTCATTTAAGTCAACGGCCATGAAAAATATAGATGAGCTTTATTCCTCAAACTGATAACTATTAGGTATTATTCATCCAATTTACAGTTAACGACTGCACTAAATGATGAACTTTCTATCTAATAAACACAAAGTCTGGTAACAACTGAGAACCAGGAACGACAGACGATCATACGAAAAACAGTTTCAAGGAGGTAAAGGACGAGAAAGCAGTGTAAAATTCTACAGTATGCAACCCGTCAATCAATTCAGTGAAATTTAAGTCTAATAAACACAGTTGGTTGCAGAAGTTCACTTTTCAAAACATGTAACAGTTGGTTTAAAGGTTATATATATATATATATATATATGGTGGATTTAGAAAGATAAACTGTTTGAAGATTTGTTCAATTCTTATATATTAGTATAGGGGCTTTGTGGAGACTTAAATTTTCATAGTTCAAATCGGACTGATCGTACTTAGACAACCATTGAAACCAGGAAACACTGGGAATCTATTTCGTCCAAGTAAGAGACTACTCAACAATGTATAGCTACGACCCTACCAAAGGCTGAACCCAAGAACTTCAGTGTCGCGACAAGCGCTTAACCTCTAAGCCCCTGAGATGGTTTTCAATGGTGTGCATGTCTAACTTCAGTCAACCTCCCGTTTCCTGAGATGGATCACTGTCTCACACTCAGAATGGTTGGACTTCACTTGTTACGGCTTCTTGCTATAACGCCAGGAATCATGTCTCGATACGCGAACAATGTTTCGAAGCCACCAAGGATCAAAAGAAAACAGCCTGCGATTTCCATCACTGTGAAAACATTTGGTAATTTTTAATACTTTGAGTGGATACTTGAAAATACTGATACAGAAGTGAATTTTAAAGATGCTAAATACCTGAAGTGAAGTAACGAGGTAAACTGATTCCTTTATTTACCTAAATGATTCTATATATATCGCAAGAATCAAAACATTTCTCAACTAGGTATAAAGTACATACTTCAATAAATATCAACTGTCACCAAGAGTTGTGTGTACAGTTCAGTAGCGCGTTTTGATCTGCTACATAATTTACTCACTAATATTAAAGTTTACGGTTTTATATTTTACAACTGTCCATGTTCAAGGCTGTATCTGACCAGTGGTAGCTGTTATATGTATTACTTGAGCGAATACCCCGATAACGCCTCTAGTTACATGTTTATCATAAGTTGAACAGCGACTAACAGGATAAAACACGCGTCTTTATTTCACTGTGGTATTTAGGAAATATGATAACCTTGAATTGATAGATTATTAAATCAAATTTATAATCGTTTTATTCAAATGGATATCATAATTTGTTAATTTTAAGTTAACAGACTGTCAGGATTTGTTAAAATGAAATATGAAGTCAGTTATTAGAGTTGACTTGAAAAAATTACGCAAAACGATAAGGTTCTACACAGACAAGTAAATAATCAGAGGTAACAGTCATAGATTAGAATGAATGAATTACTTTACCCACATTTATTAATAACATTAGAAAACTGATGGTTTTTTGTTAAAAGGTAATGTAAGTTTTACAAACATACCGTATCAATCTCTACACACACATAGACACTATATAAATGCGTCCAACGGTTCTTTCAATAGTTAGACATAATTTACATGGATTATTTGTATTCTGTAAACAGTGAATTTATCTGACTAGTTTATGTGCATGATATGTGGCCAACTACTTATAATAATAATAACAATAATAATAAACACTTAGAAAAAGGCAAAATAAATTAAGTATATACAAACTAATGTACAATATCGTGGAGTGGTTAAAGTTAGATTGGTACAACCTTGGATACCGGCTTAGCAGTCTAAAGCTTAAGCGTTTGCGCATGAAATTGGAAGCTCTGAATTCGGTTCCCAACTGCAGGTTCGTTGATGTGAATTGCTGAAGAGTCTCGTACCAAAACGGGATGGCCGCCCAGTGTTTCCTCGTTTTTAATAGTTGCTTAAACTTGGATCTATTTGAGATCTCAACACAATATACAAGACTGTTAGGCAAAGGAAGAATGTATTCTTCCTAAAATTCACTAATCTTTTGTAATGAGATGGATCAATAAGATTTTGTTCTCTCTCTCTCGCCTACTTCCAATCGCTCTCTAATTATAGATCAGTGATAAATATGTTCTCATAGAATATACAGTGACGTTTTTACAGAATAATAAAATAGTAGTATATGTTTGAAATTTGATAGCTACTAACTTGACAACATAACTGAAATTAGTAAATTGCATAGAATTAAAGCAACAAAGTTGTATAAGCTGAAATTCGTCTCAATAGCACAGATGTAATGATTTATAAACCCATTATAACTTTTTTGATTTTGAAAATAATCTATACATCATGTAGACTAATATCAACTAAGAAACAATTGAATATTAGAAGTATTAGGAGGCTTGAGGTCACTCCCGGTCCCAAGCCTGGATAACTGAGGAGAACTAAGCATTGGGGTCAGCAACACCATCTCGTAGGAAACAACCTTGCTAAAAGAACACTAAGCAGAATAAATAAATTAATTAAACCATTTAAACTCTGCCCTCCGAGTTGAAGGGTCTTCATTCAGAAAAATTTTAATGCCTCATGGTGAAAGCCGAGATTCTTCGAAAGTCACGAGGCTGATGCCCCTTCTAACAATCAGAGCAACAATTAATATAGGTACATGGAATGTTCAAACAATGAGGGAGACAGGGTGGAGTAGTCAAATAGCAACGGAAATGAGGAGAAACAAGTGAAAGTGCTCGGAATCAGTGAAATCTATTGGACCCAAGCTGACAGAAAAGGGTGAATTCGAGAAAAAATGCTGGTGTACTCTGGTCACGAAGAGGAAAATGTTCCACACATTCGGGGAGTTGCTCTGATGCTGTTCAATAAAGTCCAACGAGTACTTATAAAATGAAAATCTCATGGACTCAGGATCATCAAAACATCTTTCAAAACAAAGAACGAGAGAATCAAAATGAATGCTACCCAATGTTGAGCACCAACCAATGATAGCAACGACGATGACGAAGATCAATTTTACGAGAGGCAGCAGTATATCATATCGAAGTGCTCAGGAAAGGACATGACTATCTTGTTGGGAGATTCAAACGTTGAAGTGGAATGGGCAACATCGAATATGAAGATATCATGTGACGACATGAACTGACTAGGAGAAAGGAACGAGAATGGTGACAGATTTTCAGATTTATGCGCAATAAACAAATTAGTTATCGGCTACTCAATATTACCCCACAAAATCATACACAAACTTAAACGGATCTCACTGCACCACACCACGGAGAACCAGGTAGATCGTATTTGCATCACCAAATAATTCACAAGGTCAATGGAAGACGTGAGAACAAGGAGAGGAGCTGATACAGCTTCGGATCACCACCTCGTGGTTGCCAAGATGAAATTGAAGCTAAAGAATCATTGGACAAGTGAATAAACAGCATTACAAAGGTTCAATACAACCTTCCTTAGAGATACTCACAAACTCGACCAATTCAAAACAGCTCTAAACAACAACTTCAAAGACTTTTGAGATCTACTCAGAGAAGTGGAAACTACTATGGAGAACAAGTGGAAAGGGATAAAAGAAACACTAACTTCAAAGTGTCAAGAGGTTCTAGGTCTCAAAAAGCATCCCAATAAGGAATGGATTCCTGTAGAAATCCTGAACAAGACTCAAGAAAGGAAGAACAAGATGACAGCAATTAAAAACAGTCAAACAAGAACAAATAAAGTCAAGTCACAAACTGAATACACCGAAGCGAACAAACGAGTGAAAAGCAGAATCACAGCCAACAAACGGAAATACGTGGAAGACGTACCAACGACGGCGGAACAAGCCGAAATAGAAGGAAACATGAGACAACTATGTTACACAACGAAGAACCCAGCAAGGAAAAACGGTAAGCTACAGCAATCAGTCAAAAACAAAGAAGGTAAGTCAATCACTGAGATTCAATTCAAGGACAGAGGAACAGATAGGTACAACACTTTGGGGAACTCTTAAATAAACCAGCCCCACTAAGCCCAAGGGACATAGAAACAACACACACAGACACACCTATATCTTACAGTCCACCAACGATCGAACAAATCAAGAGTAGGAAGACACTGATATTTGACAATATACCAGCTGAAGCAGCCGCGAGCATCTTCCACGATCTGTTTAGGAAGATTTGGGAGGAGGAACAAGCACCACCGAAAGACTGGAAAGAAGGATGTAATGTCGATTGCCATGTTAAGCCGACATAACTTATTCCAGCTTCCGGACAGGCCAATTTATTCATTCTTCCTAAGCCATCACATGTCTGTAGCTTATTTTTATCTGACTATAAATATTGATAACGCTTCATCAAGTCGAATTGGCTCACACGCCTTCTTCACTGCACCTCATTTCGCTTCTCCGATCGTTTGTCTGGATAAACGATTGTCTGAGATGCACAAATTCGAAATTCACTCTCTTATTTAACTTGCTTAATTCCTTTATTCACCAACGCCAGTCAAATCAATAATTATATACGAGGATCGATGATTTGTCTATTTCGATGACAAGTAATCATACGATGTTACTGGAGTCAGATATAGGGCCACCGAAGTGATGGGCCCGTCGACATCATTGTAAGATCTAATTGGTAGCAAAATAACTTCTTCAGTAGAGCATGGACATGTTGAACCTAAAATCACCAATTTTCACGGTTGGCATGATACTATTCTCACATAAGATAGGAAATAAACGATATTTATTTTCAGTCAATTTATTAAATATTGTGGCTATGATCCCACGTCACTGGTAGGTAGGTAGATACATTACTCTTGATTTGATTGTTTTTCCATAGAGACCACATAACTTTTCACTGAAATTTTTGGAAACCCATCTGAAACTGGTCATTAACCAGTGAGTGCTATTTTATTCAATGATTTTTATAGAAGTACTGAATTCAAAGTTAATTTTACCACCTATTGTATTTATTTATTTATTTATTGAAACATATAAACATTGGTACAAGGAGTTATTAAATATATACACGCCACAGCTATTCATTTGATTTGTGTGAGGGCTAGAATACTGCTCGGGTGCCCAAACCGAAACAGGTAGTTTTCTTAGGGAGCCACTCCCCGAGCCTTTGACCTAGAGGTCTAATCCACAAGGTAGTGGAGCAACGTTATGAGATGCAGTATCATGGTAGTCAGTGACTAACTATAGGTTCATACATCATATATTCCCTAGCGATCCCGTAACATATGTGCACCATTGGTTTGGAATCAGTGTTTTCCAACTCTCCTAGGTGGACTCTCTGTATCCATCAACCCAGTTAAAGCGCTGGACATTCGATTTTCATCCTCTCGATTTCGTAAACAATACCGCCTCCACGAGAAGGCAGTGAGTACAACTTCCCTGGCAGTGACTGTATACACTTGGCCATGTGAAAGCATTTCGAAAGGGAGAACGGACTCACTCCACCCTCGGCTGTACCAGGGCATTTGGGGGTACGTATTGACATTTTTACATACCTTCGTTTGGTTCGTTCCTTTTAGTTCTTCACTACTACTAAGAATTATCATATTCATCAATTTATTTTAATGCTTTTAAAAACTAATTCAACTATTTCTTCATACACGTCTCCCTTAAATAATAAGTTTATTTTCTATCGCAAAAGAATAATAAATTATGGTGAAAATTTGATACACATTTAATTAACTTTATAGAAGTAACTTGTATATTGCAGTAATAAAAAATATATAATTATTAAGTAAATTAACAATTGCCTAAACAAATACATATTTCATGTCGGATATGATTGGAAAAAGAGGATTGCCAAAATGATATGAAATTTGATATTGTGACTGCTGGTGTTTACTTACCAGCAGCATCAAGATTTTCTGTGATAAAGCTTTAGCGATTCAAATACTCAAGTCAATTAGTGTGCTGTTATAGGGGAAAACGTTTAAATTAAACATTAAAAGTTATACGTAACAGTCTATGCAATGATGGACGTAAAGATTAACTACATTTAAATTTTCACTTCTCTTTTAACAACTATTGAAACAATAGTTGTTAACCATCTTAAAAGTAGATACCCTTTAACCGTTAAACAGCAAAGATGTAGCCGGACGAGAAATTAACATTCAAAAGTGTTTTAATATTATTCTAAGAAAAAAAAGTTATAGAAAAACAAAAAATAGTGGAAAAGTTGAAAAACAAAAGATTTAAGAAATACTATATAGTCGAACATACCAGGTCTTAGTTGTACCAGGGAACAATTAGCATCTAACCAACCATATACGGATCGGATAAATTGATCACGTGAACTTGAAATTGTTGTATTACAATAAGACTTGAAAATTCTACCAATTATCAAACTAAATATATAAAATTTCCAATTAACTTCAGTTTGTTTCAGAACATATGCACGAAACCATTCAGAATAGTAAGAATTTAAATTTTGATCTGATATTGACCTTGTAGATGATGAATTGGAAGGGGGCAATTTTTCACAAAAAAGGCTAATAGCAACAAAAAATAATAAATGAAGGAAATTGAAGTGTTATTGAACAAGCATTTGAGTAAATAATTCTCGTCACAATTAAATACAATAAGGTAACAGTTACTACCACAAAGAACTAGATAACTGAATTTGTTTAAGTGTGTAAATGTTTTGTAATATATAGGTATGATGGTATACCAGACACCGAAGTAACTACACTATTAGTTGTAATACATTGAATCAAATCATGATCAGCGAATACAAGTGACAGGGCTAGAACCATCTAACATGATGTATAGAACTCTTATTGAAGATCAGAACCTGAAAATCTCCATCATAGATGGGTAGCTAAATAAGATATTACTGAATAATTTCAACCATCTTAAGATGATCAAGATAGAAAGAAAATGTAGATGCTCGCTCCTAGAAAACATCCTAACTTCTGTATTTATAAATGATTATTATTGTTGTTATTATTCAATATAAAGTACGAGTGACAGTTTGAGTATTGAACGGAAGATGAAGATCCAATTAACGTATCTATGACCTGAACGAAACCAGATCATTTCCTCGGGGGTCAGTCTAGGACAATTGTTCATAATCTGAAAATTATAACTCAAATTAATATTTTGAAAGCAACTTTTGAGAGTATTATATCCTGGTGATTATCATACTCATTATATAGGAAACATTTTAAAGATAGGCATGACAATCATTGCATTCATAAATGGTAACACAAGACAATCTAAAACGATCCAGTTGATTTTCTTGTCAAAATATCATACAGAACCATGAAAAATCAAAATAAAGATCGTTTGAGCAGAATGTTTTGTGGTGTTTTAGTAATTCTAGCTCATTTTGGTCTTTATATCACTACATGGATTCACGAGTTTAAAAACAAGGGATACCTATCTCAGCTAAAGTTCTAGAAATATTGAGTAAGCTAAATTATTTATCGAAATGCCTTAATCAAGATTTTCTGAAGGTAGAGAATCAGCATTTTATTAACTTCATAGATCATCCCATCAAAAACTGTTGGTAGTGGTTAGAATGAACTGGAACACTTCTTAGTCATTGTAAAATATAGCTGATACTTAAATCTCGATAGCATATTCTGATTACTAGGTTGGTTCATTGCATTATCGAGACTGTATTGGTAATTGGTGCTGGTCGAAAATAAGTTTCTGCCTAAACAATATAACAGAAAATAGCTTCCGTTATTCAGCCTGCTAACAAAATGTCCCGATCAGCCATCCCAACGAATATTTTCTGTGTCTAGACACCAGGCATGAATGTTGAAGTCGTCCGTCGAAATCCTTGTATCTGCTAAGCGCATTTTATTGAGGCCATTCAGTTTATGGTATAATTTAGCCATTTTTATAACTGTTATATCTATATCCCTCCCCAGTTGCTTTTTAACTTGATTGAACCCTATAGTTAAGCATCACAGAAATGATCGTTATCAGGAATTCAGTCGATCAGTGCGGTTACAGTCTTAGCACTTAGCCTTATACCTGTTACTCAATAGGTATGATAGTGTAACCTTTGAAAGTGAGAATTTGAAACGACAAAATTTGTTTCAGAATAGTCATATTAAATGGTCATATAAAAATTGTATTTCTGACGTTTCGTTAACTAATGTAAGCCACTTATGAGTAAATAAATAACCGACATTAAATTAAGTTTAAAATTGTTATTTATTAGTAACCCTCTACCCAGTGCTCAATTTATTTTAAACTATCAAGTCCAATCTTGGTACTAATACCTACAAAGTTATATTACCTTCTTTAGAAGAATTCAGGCACGTTTACCCATTTCACAATGGAACACTGATTATATGAAGACATTAAGATTTCCTTATAAAATGTTATGACAGTACTGTAGTATGATAACATCTTGAAAATGGAAAATGGACTGCCTTTACTCCCTATTGTAACTAACAATTCTTCTAGTTATAAAACCTTTTAAATTTTAATGAAAACTGACAGTCAATAAACCAGAGACACTTGACACTAGGAAAAAATCAAACTAACGAGTTTAATGACCACATCAGTCTTCTCAGTGAATAATTCATAAGAGTTAGTTAACTGATGGAATGGAATTAACATAAACTGACCATACTTTATTCATTCTTTAAAATGATAACAATGTTTACCACAAGAACCTAATGTTTGAACCTACAAATTGTAGATTCGTTCAAAGATACTTGAGAAATCATATTTTAAAACATGACTATAAAATCAAACAAAATAGCGCGTATCCATCATTCAGATGATCTTTTAGGTAGGTTATGTACTAATCAGCAAGTAGAATACAAGAAGCTGAAAACATTGTTTTATTCAAATAGAAAATAAGTACGAAAAACTAGATTTAAAGAAAAACCAAGTTAACAGACACATTCAATATAATATGGCAACTCAGTGGCATAGATACAGTTCTACTTCAATTCACTGAATAAGCGGAATATTTCACCTGTTTCCAAGTTCTTTATTTTTGGTTTTTATTAATTTCATTTTATTATTTATAAGTAAACTTTGTAAACATTTTCGTCCAACTAACCAATCAAATATTATATTATTTCAATATCGTTTAGGTAAATAACACGAAAAAAAATCAGTTGACAATTTATGGAATTTCAGTAGACAAATAATTTCAATTTATGACATAACTAGAATGATAATTTTGTAAAGTTTTAACAAACGATATTGAAATATATTTACATAAATAAACGAATAACTTTTAAAGGTTAAGATTATCTCTATTAATTTGACTTTCTAAGTGATAAGAGTAAAAAAATTTTCATAGCAAAAAATTAAAACTAAACTGATCTAGACAATAATGTCTAAATTAATCTCTCAAAACACCAAGACATTTACATCAACATTTTAAAAAAAATGTTTTAAATAATGCCAACTTTGTAGAAAAAGCGCAAGCTAATATATAAATCAACATTATTATGGGTGGTGAATAGGGTTTTGATGTGTAGTAGTGAAAGTAAATTTAATTGGTCACAGAGTTTAAATAAACAGGCACTCAACTTACTAACTATTAAATATATGAACTCCTTTCGCTTTATTAATTTCTACTCCGGACTGATTGAAAGTGACTGCAAGTAATCATGTGGAATAAAGTATTGTCTAGCGTTATTATGGTTCTTTATTATTAACTATGAATCATATATCTGATATAATGTGATCTAGTCTCTGTATTGTGTACAGTTCGAGTATAAAATCTAGCGGTATTATAAACTCAACTACCCAGACCAGTCTTATTATCACATTGTTGTATTAGCATAGCTATACCGTAGAAAGGAAAAATATTTGAAATAACACGTTATATCAAGTTTGCAATCATTAAAATGAATAAATAGAATACTGACGAATATATAAAAGCAATGACACTATATGATCAAGTGACGATTGCCCACGAGACTGGATTTATTGACTCAGAACCTCAAGTGAATTGAGATCAAAGACAAAACCAATACGAACATAACAATGGTTTTTTATCGGATAGAAGAGCATACTTATAGCAAAACTATTATTGACAGAACACGATTGGATTGAACCAGTTTTGTAAGTCACTCTCTAATCAGTTAAGACTTGAACGTTAGGCTTAATTTCTGACTAGAATATCAGATTTCAAGGAGGTTTCAGATAAACAACATGTGAATTAGAAAGAAGATAAACTTGCTACAATATTTAACGTTTAGGGAACTCCAATATGTGAACACAAAAAACACTTGTGAAATGCGTTCCCCTGTAGATGAGTATTACCAGATGACGATTAAAATTGTACAAAAAAATTGTCGCTACGCACAATTATATTGATTTGATCTTAATTCTGAGTTCGTTATCCTTATATATATATATATATATATATATATATATATATATATATATATATATATATATATATATATATATATATATATATATATATATATATATATAGTTTAACCGTTTCCTACGTATTCAACATCCTTTACTGGACGTGTGTATGTATGTGTGGCTAGTAAACTGGAAATTAACTCACAACAGGAAACAAAAACAAAACATTATCAAACAGTTATGACCTATTAGCACTACACAATTTACAGATAAATGGATAAATACTAATTGTATTATTTTAGATTGGTCAGCAAGTAAAATATCAACACAAAGTATAGTGAGAAGAAAATGTAAATCAATATGAACGTAAGTAAAGTTGGGTTGATCACTAGTTTGGGTTATAAATTAGGTTAAACGTAACAACCACTCATATATGGATAAACTAGACTTCAAGGCTTAAAGTAAGTAACGAGGCAAGGTTGAACATAAAATAAGGATGTTGAAACCTAAGCGCATACGAACAGTGTTATATGTAATGAAGTCAAATTCAAAGTTACGTACATAAATTTGACTAAAAATACGCTTACTTAATTGCACTTTTCAAAGCTTTTACTTCGCCCTTAAGATTTGTACATTGTGTTTCTAATACATTTCGCTCATCTCTTAATTTTCGTATTAGTTCTGCAGCACTTCTTAGTGTTGCAGCTTTAGATGCTCGAGCAGTACCACCAACTTCCGTTCCTGAGGACATCATTTGTTCATCAGATGTAAAATCTAACCCATTTGATGGACGTAATCCAACGCTAAGCATTTCGCTAGGCATATCTGTATCCCCAAATGAATAAGTCCCAGATACGGAAGGCATTTCTAAATTGCTAAGATGCCTGCGAGCTGTCAGACGGTTACTACCCCCAAGATTATCTAAATTGGAGTGCAACTTTAACAGTTGTCGTAGAGTTTGTAAACCAGATTGCATAGATTGACGTCGTCGTTCTTCAGAGGAATTACCTAGAATATGTTTAGCTTGTTGATCATTTTGTTCTGAAACCGAAGGTGGAGAACACGATGGTGAAGTAGCATACAGAAATCCTTTATGGTTAGAAAACATTGGAGATAAAATTTCCGTACTTCCAAAACTTGACGTAGTAGTTGCTGAACCCTGTATCGAACAACTAGGAATTTGATTATGTTGAAGTGAGAATAAATTCCCAGCTGAACTGGAACGTCCAAGCATTGATGGATTACTTTCGATAATCTTAGATACTGGAAAAATGATAATAACACTAGATTAGTTGTTGTATATGAATTCAAAATGGGACAAATAATTAAAAGCTTTGCTATTCAGCAAAATAAAATTGAAATTTGCATGAGTTGTTTAAATTATTTAAGTGTAAGATATATGAATCAACCGAAGAAAAAAAGACAGAATAAAACATTTAAATACCTTAAAAACAAGCACTGAATAGTAAATATCAGAAAATTGGATGCAGCTTCTGTTGTAACTGAATATTAAACCGAGCTAGGTTTAAAGCTAAATATCAACCCATCGAAAAGTATAAGTGAGGATTGACCGAAATTGAATAATGCCATGAAAATGGCGAGCAAAATCGCTTGCAGCTTGTCGAAACGTTCCGCTTATAAACAATGGGTTTCTACAGCCTTCTTACAACTTGTTGAAGCACATCGGTCCATTCCGAATAACCACGAGTTTGGCCATAAATAAAGATTGTTACGCAATGAAATTATGTAAAATTCGATTAAGGACTAGGAAGCTTGGCAATCACAGTGTACTAACAAGTTAAAAGCAGCAGCTGCATCCGGTAACTACCAGAATCTCTTTCAACTCATTCGAGACACTGGCAGCAGGAAGCCTGATGTTAGTGAAACAATCTGTGAAGCTGATAAGACGCTAATCAATAACATCTACCGTCGTCTTGGACGATGGGTATAGTTTTACGAGGAACAGCTCATCTGGTCTGTTGCTCCAGCAACACCGACCAGACTGTCGTTTCCTCCATGGCCGGTAATAGCTGACCCATCCAACAAGGCGTAAGTCCGCAAGGAACTACAACTCTCGAAGTGCCACGAATCACCAGGCCCAGATGGTTTACCTTCGGTCTTTTTTAAATATAGTGGCGACCTAGTGGCTAAGGAACTGACTGAGATTTTTACAAACGGATAGAATTAGAGGGTGTTCTAACATCGTCGATTAAGACGATCGTTGTCTCCATCTTTAAAAGGGGATCATTTCACATATGGCTCCTGACATACTTCGTAGATTGTTCAAAACCCGAGAAAGATTGACTCACGAGAAGCAAGCTGGTTTTCGTTCTGGTTGAGAATGTACTGATTATATTTTCACCCTCCACCAAACGTTAGAACACCGTCACACTTATCACAGACCAAAAATAGTGTTTCGCGACATCAGGATCGCATTCGATTCGTTGGACAGGACTGTTCTCTGAGATTCCCTATTGAAAAAGGGTTTGTCCGAGAAGTTTATTAACATCTTGAAAGCCCAATATACAAGCAATTCAGGTAGAATGAAGGGATACAACCACCTCTCTCCATCGTTTCATTCAGCTAGTAGGGTTAGGCAGGGTTTCCCAATTTCACCGTTTCTCTTCGACGCTGCCATCAATGATGTGCTGGAAACAGCTCTTATGGATGTAGGTAATGGTGGTGTGGATCTGTTGCCTGGAGAAACTCTTAAGTTTCCAGCTCATAGATCATGATTACTGGCCAGTATTATGTAATATTCATCGGTATTATCTATAAGACTATTAACTGCGACAGTCAGAACCATTGGTTTAGTGATGACATAGCAAGTTGCGCCAATGTATTGTCATTAACTATTTTCAATATATTAACCCATAAAAATTGTATGTTTTCGGTTAGACCGAACAAACAGTTACATATGAGAATAAAGGCAAAAGTAATCTCAAGCAGATTTTATTAACTTATTTGTCCCAAGAAATGAGCTTTGTTTCACGGCGCAGATTTAAATTCTAGCTTGGTCAAATGAATATTATTATCCGTAGACCTACCATTTAAACATTTATCACTTGTGACTGATGCTTTAGGAAGTTGATCCATATCATTTAGTGAAATATTGATTGTATGTGGAAAAATCTGTGGCTCAGTCCAACTTCCAGGTACCAAAGTTTCCAGCTCAGAATTAGAATCTTCTGTGTATGCATTCCTAAGTTCATTACTTGGTAGAGCAAACATATTCGATCCTGAAAGTGAACTACCAGGGATTGTGCACGGACCAGAATTACGACTAGAGAAATTGAAACCTGTATTCGATGAAACAGAAAGATTTCCATGGATTGGTGTCGAAAGCCCGTTATTTCCTTTTAAAATAAGGATGGAGTCTTGTGAATTCTGAGAAGGAACAGTACTGACATCAACCAAATAATTTGGATTTCTCTGTGTACTTTGTACGGTAGAACCTTTTGTATCCAAAGTTTGTACGTTTGAATTTTTTCGTTCTAATGGTAGACCAAGAGACTTACGTGAATCAACTGAGCTTTGTTGAGAAATCACTTCAGTGTTATTGAAGTAATTATTAGAACCTCGCATTAAAAGGTCAGTAACACCGAAGCTAATGGATTCCGTCCCGCAATTTTTTACCAAAAGATTATGAGAGATTAGAAAAGATGAACCATCTGCTCGAGATACAGTTGGTGTCAAAACAGATAAATCAGGTTCATGGTTCTGAGTTACGGAACAGTCACTAGACACCCCATAGTTAGCCACTGGAACTGATATATTCTAAAACAAAAATGCAGTAAAAAAAAGTCCTATGACAAATAAATAGATAAAGTATCGAGTCATTTGGTCAAAAACATCAAAAACCATACGTGGTTAATGCATAGAATCACATTTTTAAAAAATTTAATGAAAAATAAAATTATTTAGGCATCTACTCTATTTAGTTAAATGAAATAATTAGTGTTTTACTTAAACGAATGGTTTGCTAGATAGATAAAACAGAACCTGATTAGATAGTACACTACTACATCATCAAAATAATGTACTACCATTACTTATCTTAAAGACATTGTTCTGTAAACATCGTCTTGAAATTCTTGTCGGCCATGGTAGATTGATGAGTGCAATCTCTTGTGGTTTTCATTGGCATGCTTCACGAGCAATGTCACTGAAGTGTTTGTTTGTCTGACAGAGGGTAAATATGCTGAAAGCCGGTCTAATATTTACTAATTTACGGCTATGAAACATTCATTCAAGGTTGATTTCATTTATCTATTCAAATACATAAACAATGGTTTAAAAGGACACCAAAATATGCGTCACATAAAGTAGTTATGATTCAATTTGTGTATGGGCTGTGATACTTCGCGAGCGCCCAAACCGAAACAGGTAGTTTTCTTAGGGAGCCACTCCCCGAGCCTTTAACTTAGAGGTCTAATTCACAAGGTAGTGGAGCAACGTTATGAGATGCAGTATCATGGTAGTCGGTGACCAACTATAGGTTAGTACACCATTTGTTCCCTAGCGATCCCGTAGCCTATGTGCACCATTGGTTTGGAATCAGTGTTTTCCGACTCTCCTTGATGGGTCCTCCGTCACCCATTGAGGATATACATGGGTTGATATTATTTCATTACTGGTGTGAAGTATTGCTCGTAGATGACGGCATCACTAAGCGAGCAACGCACATTTTAAGCGCAGAATAATAGATATGGCAAACCAGCTGATGAATTTGTAGACATTTATTGGCTAAAGTAGTTGGAAAATTTGTATACTCCCCCCTGTTATATCCCGACGAGAATTATGAATGGTAACTCTTGATAACTATTTATAGATAATTACGATACATATATTTTTATTGTATAATTATTAAGCAGATAAACTATGCATATTCATGTTCCTCTTATTATAAGCTTTATTTTGACCCATAGACTATTGTCACATGATTTACCATTCTTGAGTTACGTCCAGTCCATAAATTACGATCTCCCACATTCACAGCCACTTTTGGCTAGATCTTGTACAAATGTTGTTTCTTATTTTATGGTCTGTTTGGTTTATAATATAAACCCAGTATGTTTGATATACATGATTCATATCGCAGAGGCTGAAATTGGTGTTGTGGACTTAACAGGCGGGGTTAGGCAGGAAAAAGGACCGATAAAGACTCTAGACTGCTCATACGAGTTTGTGAGTCATTGGTCCGGTCGATAAATCACTGTTCTCTAATTGGTGGTACCATTACGTCATATATTAAAAGGGCACAAGGCCACAAGTTATAACACCTTCCCCAGCCACTATTTACGATCTGCTATGCCAGTTAGCGTAGGAGTAAGTTTGAAAAAGGATGGTAGCTCTCAGTCTGAGGCATAATGTTTGTCTAGTGACGTTTGGTCTAAGCTATTGTTGAGGATGCTGAATCCAAAAATACTACATTTAGAAAGAGATCAAGTGAACTCTTTTCGTTTACTTTCAATGTGTTTTTACCTGTATGAAACCAGTTTTCCTTATTTTCAATGAATCCTGCCTAAATTGATTAATTCACTGTAATATCTCTTTCAGGGACTAGTCAGTTTAATAACTCTGCAATCGATATACAAGTGAATAAACTTGAATGTAATTAAATTCTAGGGTCTTCACTTTACAAAACATCTTCACTATATATTGCATAGGGGATTGTCGTTAGAGTATTGTGTATTAGTCTTCCAGTCTATCCCCTCCTTATTAGAATTTTTAAATCGCTTTTAATTCATAAGACCGAACCCAAATCCAATTCACAGCAACTACGTACGAGAGTGGGAACTTCCAGTTTAGAGTGAGGTTACTACAACCGGTGACTAGAGACATGAAGTATACGAATCAAAATCAATTACGAAAGGTTTAGATGCATTAGTTCTTTTTCTATATAAAATTTCCAGACAGCATTACTCGGAAATCTTTGGGTTGCAGTTTTATTTACTTTTGTCTCTTTGTCTATATTTTCAACCACTGTTAGTGTTACTTCTACTTTTATGTCTTTATCTTTCATCTGGTTAATTCCTTCAAGTAGTGTTAAAGCGAAGTAAGGTAACTTAGACGGACACATTCCATATGTTCTCAAGGAACGTAATTTAAGATTACCAATATATTTATTTGGTTTTGTCCTCATAAAATCTGATAACCAAAAATAATATGTACCATACAAAATGAGTTTGTAGTTGAGACGGGTTATTTTTGGGCGCCAACCCTGACCGTTGTTGCTACCTTGACGTGGTGGTCGGGCTTGCCTATCGTGATGAAGCAACTGAGCTATACTGGCTGGAACAACCGTTCCTCAAGGTCCTACCATGCCAGACAGGTCGGTTGAAGAGCGGTAAGACTAAAAGCAACAAAACCAAGGTCCGAAGGCGAAGTCGTACTGCTGACTGTACAGAGGTGTGACAGCAGTAAGATGTTTCCTTCGGACAACCAGCATAACAGCGATGCTGCCTTCCCAAAAGCAGGGGTGGGGTTAGAAAAGGTCGACCCTAAAAATGCACACCTCGCCTTATCCCACGGATATCCGTCTCCGGCGGTAAGGTCTCAACAAGTACGGAGCTAACACAAAAATTACTCATAAAAAGGTCGTGTGTGACCGACCTCAAGCAGCTGTCCCTTGGGCACTGCGGTCACGCTCTCAGGTCACTATGACCACCTCTAATCCAATTTCCTTTTCAGGTACCTCCAGGAGAACCCTTCCATGGTGTGGGCAACCGGGAAGTGATAACCGCCCTCATACCTCTAACAGCACTCAAGACCACTGTATTCATAATCAACCTACCTCTTCAATTCCTATTATTCCTCTTACATCGACTTTCAAATCTAAACTCCCTCTTTCGGCTTCCTCCTCAAGTGTCACCACAGCCAACGATTCTAGTGCGCAAAACACTGTCCCAGGTCTACTGAAACCTCGCTCCAAACTACACATTGGAGCCTTCAACGTACGCACACTATGCCAAATCGGTCAGCAGGCTTCCTTGGCTAAAACCTTAGAATCTCGTACGATTGATGTATGCTGTGTCTCCGAAACACGCATACAGGATCCTAGTGTGGTCATTCACTTGACCTCACCTCGGCAAAACGGAGTGCCGACGAGATACACCTTCCGTGTATCTGGCGACCCGATGACTAGTTCTCGTGGACTGGCAGGTGTAGGCATAGCACTTAGTATGAGGGCGGAACAAGCGCTATTAGAGTGGATCCCCGTTAATAGTCGTCTATGCGCTGTTCGGCTAAACGGCTCCGTAAGAACTCGAAAGGATAGGGACACACGTCGTTGCCTTTTCGTCGTTTCTGCCTACGCTTCCACTGACTGCAGTTCGGATGAAGTGAAAGATGAATTTTACAGAAAGCTGTCTGAACTTCTTCAGAAAGCTAAACGTTCAGACATAGTACTCGTAGCAGGCGACTTTAATGCCCAGGTAGGTAGCTTAAACGAAACAGAAAGACATTTAGGTGGGTATTTTAGTATTCCGGCACAGAGAACAGATAATGGTGATCGTCTGCTGCAACTGTGCTCAGACAATCGTTTATTTTTAGCAAACACAAATTTTAAGCATAAGGAGAGACATCGTCTAACATGGCGACCCCCTGCACCAAACCAACGATGGACTCAAATAGACCATATTGCCATCAGTCATCGTTGGAGAGGGTCGATAGAAGATTGTCGCTCATTCTGGAGTACCTGCTTGGACTCCGACCATGCCCTAATACGAGCACGCATCTGCTTGCACCTCACTGGACGCAAAACAGCCACACAAAAAAGACTCATTAGAACCGAATCGAGTAATAAGAAAACCAAAAGTAGGTTCCAGGAACAACTGAGGTCACACTTAGGTAGTTCTGAAAACGAGGCTGACCTCGATGTTGATTGGAAAGACATACAACCAGCTGTGGAAACAGCAGTGACATCTACCAGTGATTTAAACCACAGGGTTACAAGGAACCAATGGATTTCTTCAAGGTCTATTGCACTGATAGATTCTCGTAAACTCATCCCATCAGGTTCTGAACACGATGAAGAGCGTAAAGAAATCAGATCTAGGTTAAGCAAAAGTCTAAGGAATGATCGTGAGCAGTGGTGGGCAACGAAAGCAAAAGAGATGGAAAAGGCGGCGGCTATAGGGAACACAAGACAACTCTACAGACTATTAAAAGAAACTGGAATTAATAAATCAAGTGTAAGTCAGACCATTTCGGAAAAAGACGACACTCTCATCTGCTCCCAGTCCAGACGCTTAGAACGATGGGCGGAACATTTTAAGGAGCAATTCAGTTGGCCTTCAGCTACTCTACAACTACCCTCTATTCCCAGACAGTGTGAATAGAACATTGAAGTAGGTCCCCCAACTCTAGCTGAAGTTCAAAAGGCTATAGCTAATCTGAAACGAGGAAGGGCAGCTGGTCCAGATGGATTGGCCCCAGAGGTCTTTAAGGATGGTGGTCTAGTTTTAGCGATTAGGTTGACTAATATTTTAGCTAAAATCTGGGAGTTAGACGTTATCCCATCTAACTGGTCACAATCACTTATCGTCCCAATATTTAAGAAAGGGTCAAAATCATCCTATGACAACCACAGAGGGATTAGTTTAACTAATATAATATCTAAAATACTAGCTTCAATAATTTTCGGACGCCTAACTGTTAAGTTCTCTACTCGAATACGCACGAAAAGACTCTATAACGGATGACACTCGAACGTTATAGCCTCCAATCGCTCTCAAGTAAGAAGACGAAAGATGTTTGTGAGCACTTATTGACAAGAATCAAATATATACAATCAAACATGAGTATTTATACAAAATTATATATATAATCAATATTGTCATTTAAAAATTCTTAAACATTCATCAATAAGTTAATCAATTGACTGCTATTCAAATACTTAACATCTGATCGATAAGATAATCGATAACTTAGTCAATCGACTATGTACGTGGGTGGCTTCTCGGTGGCCATCCCAACACTAACTAAGACTCGTGAGCTGCAAACACGTGAAAATCAGGCTGGCTTCAGACCTGGTCGTGGCTGCATCGACCACATATTCACCATTCGTCAGGTTCTAGAACACAGGCATACTTATCGGCGTCCGACAATAGTGGTCTTCCTTGACTTAAAAGCAGCGTTTGACTCTGTTGACCGAGAGGTTCTGTGGCAGTGTCTGTCATTGAAAGGCGTACCTCAGAAGTACATAAACCTTGTGAAGGCTCTTTACTCGAACACTACTAGTCGAGTGAGAGCTTATGGCGAACTGTCATCTGCTTTTGCAACCTCAAGTGGCGTCCGCCAAGGCTGTCCACTTTCTCCATTTTTGTTCAACTTCATCATAGATCTACTGATGGAAATAACGCTCTCATCGACTGAATTCTCAGGTATTGATCTCCTACCAGGAGGTCCACTTATCGACTTAGAATACGCAGATGACATAGTCCTGTTTGGTGAAGACGCTGATGAAATGCAGAGTCTTTTGGTAGCACTGAGCAACAATGCCAGAATGTTTGGGATGCCCTTCTCTCCCTCTAAATGCAAGTTGTTGCTTCAGGACTGGTCTGCATCAACACCTGAACTAAGGATAGGGGGTGAAGTAGTCAAACGCGTTCACAACTTCACTTATCTTGGAAGTCTGATCAGCCCTAATGGGTTGGTGTCTGACGAAATCTCAGCACGGATTCGAAAAGCTCGCTTGGCCTTTGCCAACTTACGTCATCTATGGCGAAGGCGAGATATCCGTCTATCAATTAAGGGACGAGTATACTGCGCGGCAGTTCGTTCCGTCCTTCTATACGGCTGCGAAACATGGCCTTTAAGAGTGGAAGATATTCGTAAGTTACTAGTATTTGACCACAGGTGCCTTAGAAATATTGCGGGTATCTGCTGGGATCACCGGGTAAGTAATAGTGAGGTTAGACGCAGGGTATTAGGGAATGATGGTAAATCAGTTGATGAGGTTATGAATCTTCATCGACTGAGATGGTTGGGCCACGTGTTGCGTATGCCTGAACACCGATTACCACGACGCGCAATGCTGACTAGTGCAGGGGATAATTGGAAGAAAGTTAGGGGCGGCCAAACCAAAACGTGGCATCAGTCCACAAAGTCACTAACTTCTGGTCTGAGCCATGTTGGTAGATGCAGACTGCCTAGTTGGGGTCCATGTGACTATCGTAACCAATGGTTGGAGACTCTTGGTGATATGGCTCAGAATCGATCACAATGGCGTCGGTGTATACACTCTTTGTCTTCCTTTAAACTAAGAGATTAAAATCACTTCAAATTTTTCATTCTATGAACTAATTCTACCTTCCTGTACTATCTCCTTATACACACTCTTTCTTCTATATATTACCACCACTGAATAAACTACTATGAATCCGGTGTTCATCTTGTTGTGCTAATGCGGTATGGCAACTTGGACCGATGCATATACGTGCCTGGTCCTACGTTGCAGCTGACTGACTGACTGACAAAACCTTTAACATGCTAAAAAATTGTATCAAACTCAGAAAGAACCAACTATAATATTTCTGTGTATAGCGCACTCACTGTTTACCAAACACCAGAGATGTCCACGACATACATGCATAACAATTTAAAATCAATATGTTAGGTCCTGTAACATTTCAGACTCCTAACAACATAACTCAAAGTTCACCTCAGATCTAAGAACTAAATACATACCCATCATAGACTTCAAGGTTTAGAAAATTTAAAATCGTGCTTAGCTGAAATACGATGGTACAAAACCATTTTACAATTCTTCAGTTAACTAATTATCTCGTAGTGAACAACAAAACAAACCACAAAGTTTAAATATACGACAACTATAACCAAAATTACCCATACTAAAAAAACTGGCTTTTAATGAAACCGGTAAAAACTAAAATAACTTACATCCGCAACATTCAATGTATTAATCCTGGGGATGTCAACATTCTGTACTGTATTTATCGAATTGATGGATGAATGATCATTGTATGGATAACCAGGATGAGTGTAAGAATCTGATAACCCTTTTGTATTTGTAAGAAGATTGGGGCCTTTTTTGACTTGAACTGACTTATTTGATGAATCGTTGAGGTGGATTAGATGTTTGTTGGATGAACTATCAAAGCAGTTTCCTGAATTGCTTAAAGCATTACAAAGTAAGGGAGACGAACACTTCGAAGTTTCCTGAAATGCACTAGTGTCCATGCAATCAATGGGCGAGTTCACATTTTGACCAATGCTACTACCACGCAGTAAGGCATTTAAAAGAGCAGATTTGTTTGTGTGATCGCCTTTTTCTTTATTCGATTCTACACAATGACCAAACGATTGTATGGGTTCAGTCACGTGACCTTTTTTGTGTATTGAACCTGTATTTAATCCATATTTTGATTCCATGCTAACAGAAGGGTTGCTGTTTTGATGTTGACCAGCAACCCTGGGTTGATGTTGGAAGTAGCGCTTCTGAGACACAGGAAATGATGTTCGATAAGGATGGGGATCATGATAATCTGTTTCACTAACACTGTTATTTAAATAAGGTCCACACACTTCACTACTGGTGGTAGCCAAATCCAAAAGACCGGATTTACGATTACCTGACAAAAACGATGAGCAGATTTGGGAAGACGAATCGACTACGCTAAGACGTTCAACAAGAGGTAGGTTACAACTTTGTTTGGTTTCTGGGAGAGGTGTAGTTGTGTTTGAGAATGTTGCTTCACATATATATTTGTTAAATGGGTAGTCTGAGCTAGACCATGCATATTCACACGAATATGCATCAGAACTACATTGAAATGTCGAATTGGGCTCAATAGACTGAAAAATATTACACGATATGTCGTCGCATGAACTTCTATCAGGTTGAAGTTGTTGCAAACCTGGTTGCATTATATCGGCGTTTCCCAAGATAGGCAAATCTCGCCGATTTGGAAATGTTATCGGTTGATCAAAAAACAAATCTAGATTCTCATCTATGTCCATCATTATTTCCTCCATAATTTTTGAAGACGTATTCTTTGATAGGTCACTAAATTGATAAGGATATAAATCCGACCCTTCGAGTAGTTCATTGGCACATTGTATAATTTGTTTGTTTTGAGAACTGTATATCCTGTTTTTGGCAAATGCTCTCCAAAGTCTATACTCCTTACACAATGTACTTAAGCGCCTTTTCCAATATTTTCCTTCTAATATAACTGCCTGTAAAAACAATATTAATAACTTTATGAAATTACTTCAGTTTTAGAATGATCTTCATATACAGGTGTCTGGAATTGAACAACAACTGGCTTTAATTTTTTGACATCTAAAAGTGATTAAATAAACAGGAACTTACATTGCATGTGGTATTCTCTCCAAACTATGTTGTTAAGTCGGATTTTATTTTTTATTGCAAATCTTAGTCCACGAAATTTGTCCCATTTCGGGCTTGTCAGCTTTCCACTATAAGCAATCTCCAAATACTTAAAAAGTGAAGCTAGGTTCTCAAAAATCAGCCTGTTTTTATCCTTAACACTTGACTGATTAATGTTATCTTTGGAACTGTATGTAATGACGTTTTCAGTGAATACATCATTTGAATGTTCTGTCTCATCCTCAGAATCTTCAAGAATGCTAACCATAAAATGACCTGAATGAACTTCATGAGTTTTCAAATCCATAGTAGACAGATTAAAACCTCAGGCTAAGTTAACCTTTGTTTACTCAATCCCAGCAACTCTAAGTGAATCGTTATGTCTAGTCGTTAATAAGTTTATGCTTCGATAGCAGCCCCGTTGTCGTTGCTGCTGAAAAGAAGTGAAGAAAATAATGCGATGATTCAGCGGAAGAAAATTAACATGCCAGCATAAAAATCCAGAAACAGGAGGAACAAAAGAGGATGTCGAACAAAAGTGTATTGATTATTTGCATTTCATGGTGAAGGCAAGTGTAGACAATCAGTGACGAACAAGAGCGAATTTGAAACACGGGTAACTAAAACTTAGCTTCCTTAATAGAAAACAATGTCCAAAATACTTTTAGCCCCTGAAAAGTGTCGACCAGTTGCTTATGAGACTAATCGGCGAATAAAACGAGGTTATGGGTGCTGTTAATGGTCTGCTCCAACAAGGAGCCAGACCAATAAAGGCGACTTATATAAGAGCATGCGTCGAAAGGGTTAGAATCAAAAATAACTAGCGGTTTGTTTTAAAATGACCTAATTAGGTAGTGAGTGCAGTTGCAAACTACGGAAAATACAAAAATATCAAAGTAGATTACAATCATTGTATTAAAAGCACGACTGCACGTAAAATATTTGAGTATCTACTCATTTTACAATCAATTATTTAAGTAGAGTTTAAAATAGTGTAAAATATAGATGTAGTGAGCTATATTCCAAGATATATGGTTTACACCTGATTCAAATTGGATTAGAATACACAAAAAGTGAAAAGTATGATGAATTTTTGAGAGTGAACGGCTGTCTTCAGGAAAGAGGAAACGAATAATGACGAAAACATTTGGAGAGTACGGTGAGGTTTGAGTCACGTTATCATATGAAACATGGATATATTAAAAGGTATTTAGCAGAAGATAATCATGTTCTACATAAAGATAAAATAAATGTAGAGTACTAATCACCATGGTAAAATGTTGAGCGACTTCATGAACAGAAATGGCACATCAAATTGTAGCTACGGCACTATCTGGCTTAAAGGATGAAGTACCAGGTCCACTTTTAACGGGTATTCTGATGTAGACAGTTTATTGTCTACAACACAACCACTAGGTGCTCTTACTAGATGAGAATCCATTGGATAAGCTAACTTGTCTGAATACAAGAAAATTGTAAGTCAAAAATCCTCTTCTGTATGATAGCCGACCAGGTAGACAAACAAATTTAAATCTCAACAACTCAATCTAGAGTTATTGGAAGAATATACCCAATCCTATTTTAATATAAGATCCAAGTCCTCCCCACCTTTGTCTACTCAGAGTCACGAAATCTATGCTATGAATTCAATACGGCTATCCCCTTGATTAACATCCCGATGAATGACAAGAGTACAAATTCGTGCGTTCAACTTAAAAGCAGTCGATTACCGCGACTGATTGCGAACATTCAGCTTTATTAGCATTTTGACGAGTACGTCTAAATGTATTTCACAGTCGTTTGCACCAAATGAGACTTATATAGCGAAGATTACAAGAGTCAGGAAACCTTCAACAACCTGACAAGATAAAGGTTTCGCTTTGTGCATCCATCAATTTGCAACATTAGCTTTTGTGCCAGTGGAGGATGTCGTAACTACATTGAACAATTCAGCCGGATCACTGGTTTAGGTAGAGAATAAAAAATAAATCATGTTATTAACGAATTGTTCTGAAGATGACTACACCAAAAGACTTACAAAACACAGAGGCTTCAATGATCAAGTTTTCTGATCTGTCCAGTGCAATCCCTACATTTCTTTATAAAAGATCCTCCTAAGATAGATGCGATGACGAGGGGTATGGAGGTTATATCAAGCCCACCTCAGAATACAAGAAATTATCGATACTCAGAAGGGACAGATTAAATGAAATGAAAATGGAAGTTACAGGGATCCAGTAACAGCACGTTAAGCAGAAAGAGTAAGCTGTAAAGACAGAACCGTATGTAGGAAACTACGAGAACAGATTGGTGCTACATGACTGAAACGAAATATATTGCAATTTGAATCTACACATTTGGATATAAGACTTACAAAAATTTACATATAACATTTACATTAATATTAAGCTATTAAGCAGTTCTCTCGATACGCACTTACGGTTTTATACATTTTTTGGCTAATGGGTTAATAGAATAACTTAATTGTGTAACTGGTAGATATTACAGTGAGCAGCACATCAGTGACGGTGAATGAACATAACCCATATCTAACTCCAAAGTAATACGAGGTCACTGATAACTATGAGTAAACTTCAGGTACCATTATATAGAAAACGAACGCGGTATAATGACTGACTCCCTGGTAATTGGATGCCTACTGGTTTCCAAAACCATACTTCCCTGAAACAAACGCGCCCACTTAGCTTTAAAAATACTGGTACTCACAAAGCACTGTCGGACTAACAGGGACTAGTAGCGTCGAGCGGTGAGATTATGCCACATACAATGCCACTGAAGACCTGAGACCGTTAGGAGGCAATAAGAAACCAGCGCAAGGAGTCTGCTCAAGCAGCAGACAGTTGTCATGGTGTTTTGGCGTCGACTATCAGTTTACGTTCCTCCGCGAATTTTAGAGCCCGAAGCTTTATAAATTAGATCAAACACGTATGTGAAGGATAGTTTGCCCAGAAAGCAAATGAATGAGTCTCTTAGAGCTGAGTTATTGGAACCAGATTTCATCCACGAGTCATTTTAATAATCTCATAAAAGTAACTTATGTGTAGGATAGGCAATATAATAGCTAGCTTTATAATTTGGATGTCCTAAAAAATTGATGTTGTTCCCTTAGAAAACCAAAGGAAACCAAAATACCTGGAGAACCGCGGAAACAACTGACCCGCGGGGCTTTTCAAAGACAAGGTCACAAAATAAAGAATAAAACTAATAGTATTCGCCAAATAATCCCTAATAAATTTGCCTTAGTGTGAGAGTATGGTTTTATGTATTATTTTCAACTGAAATAATGCAGTAGTCATAGATTTCAGTTTCACTTTGGATAAGGCAGGAAGCTTGCGGGCCTGGGTTAGTCCTGGAAATGATGGTCTCTCAGTTGATCCAACTTTCCTTTGAAAGAGTCGACGGATGGAACTTCAATAACTTATTGAGGTAATAAATACCACTCGCTGATGATTCGATGCGAAAGTCGATAGTCAGCTATTAAGTAATATGTTGTGGACTTGTGAACTTTTTCAGTGTCCTCGTAAATCCTCTATTTTGGAAGACAAGAAAAACGAAGGAACACCATGTGCGAATTTATCACCAAGTAATTTGAAAATTTTGATCAATTTACCTCTAGTTCTTATATATGACAACGGGAATAGGTTTAGCTTAGCCACTTGAGCATCATACGAGAGCTTCGTTATCGCTGGAATCAGCTTATTTGTGGTTCACTGAACATTTTCCGAAAGCTCGCTGTCTCTTTTAGGCAGGGACTAGCCGCTTTTGTGCACTACCAAGGTGTAGGATGCACGAATACTGTATACAAAGTCAAAAACGTTTCAGCGTAGATGCAACTAAATGCTGGTGTACTCTGGTCACGAAGAGGAAAATGTTCCACACATTCGGGGAGTTGCTCTGATGCTGTTCAATAAAGTCCAACGAGTACTTATAAAATGAAAATCTCATGGACTCAGGATCATCAAAACATCTTTCAAAACAAAGAACGAGAGAATCAAAATGAATGCTACCCAATGTTGAGCACCAACCAATGATAGCAACGACGATGACGAAGATCAATTTTACGAGAGGCAGCAGTATATCATATCGAAGTGCTCAGGAAAGGACATGACTATCTTGTTGGGAGATTCAAACGTTGAAGTGGAATGGGCAACATCGAATATGAAGATATCATGTGACGACATGAACTGACTAGGAGAAAGGAACGAGAATGGTGACAGATTTTCAGATTTATGCGCAATAAACAAATTAGTTATCGGCTACTCAATATTACCCCACAAAATCATACACAAACTTAAACGGATCTCACTGCACCACACCACGGAGAACCAGGTAGATCGTATTTGCATCACCAAATAATTCACAAGGTCAATGGAAGACGTGAGAACAAGGAGAGGAGCTGATACAGCTTCGGATCACCACCTCGTGGTTGCCAAGATGAAATTGAAGCTAAAGAATCATTGAACAAGTGAATAAACAGCATTACAAAGGTTCAATACAACCTTCCTTAGAGATACTCACAAACTCGACCAATTCAAAACAGCTCTAAACAACAACTTCAAAGACTTTTGAGATCTACTCAGAGAAGTGGAAACTACTATGGAGAACAAGTGGAAAGGGATAAAAGAAACACTAACTTCAAAGTGTCAAGAGGTTCTAGGTCTCAAAAAGCATCCCAATAAGGAATGGATTCCTGTAGAAATCCTGAACAAGACTCAAGAAAGGAAGAACAAGATGACAGCAATTAAAAACAGTCAAACAAGAACAAATAAAGTCAAGTCACAAACTGAATACACCGAAGCGAACAAACGAGTGAAAAGCAGAATCACAGCCAACAAACGGAAATACGTGGAAGACGTACCAACGACGGCGGAACAAGCCGAAATAGAAGGAAACATGAGACAACTATGTTACACAACGAAGAACCCAGCAAGGAAAAACGGTAAGCTATAGCAATCAGTCAAAAACAAAGAAGGTAAGTCAATCACTGAGATTCAATTCAAGGACAGAGGAACAGATAGGTACAACACTTTGGGGAACTCTTAAATAAACCAGCCCCACTAAGCCCAAGGGACATAGAAACAACACACACAGACACACCTATATCTTACAGTCCACCAACGATCGAACAAATCAAGAGTAGGAAGACACTGATATTTGACAATATACCAGCTGAAGCAGCCGCGAGCATCTTCCACGATCTGTTTAGGAAGATTTGGGAGGAGGAACAAGCACCACCGAAAGACTGGAAAGAAGGATGTAATGTCGATTGCCATGTTAAGCCGACATAACTTATTCCAGCTTCCGGACAGGCCAATTTATTCATTCTTCCTAAGCCATCACATGTCTGTAGCTTATTTTTATCTGACTATAAATATTGATAACGCTTCATCAAGTCGAATTGGCTCACACGCCTTCTTCACTGCACCTCATTTCGCTTCTCCGATCGTTTGTCTGGATAAACGATTGTCTGAGATGCACAAATTCGAAATTCACTCTCTTATTTAACTTGCTTAATTCCTTTATTCACCAACGCCAGTCAAATCAATAATTATATACGAGGATCGATGATTTGTCTATTTCGATGACAAGTAATCATACGATGTTACTGGAGTCAGATATAGGGCCACCGAAGTGATGGGCCCGTCGACATCATTGTAAGATCTAATTGGTAGCAAAATAACGGGCATCTCATAGAACATGTCATCAGTATACCAAAGAAACGAGATCCCAGCAAATGTGAGAACTACATAGGCATCACAATATCGTCATTACCAGGAAAACTTTTCAGCAGAGTGTTGCTGGACCGTTTGAAAGATTCAGTAGACGTCCAGCGTCAAAACCAACAGGCTGCATTTCATAAGGATCAATCGTTCACAGACCAAATCACGAGATTACGGGTCATTGTTGAGCAATCAATGGAACGGCATTCGTTACAGTGCATTAACTTCCTTGACCATGAGAAAGGGTTTGACAACGTGGATGAGAGAATATTATAGAACCTTCTTCGACACTATGGTGTACCTGAAAAGATCGTCAACATCATACGAAATTCATACGATGGACTACACTGCAAAATGGGGCACGGAGGACAGCTCACAGATGTGTTAACAGTGATGTAAGCCTGCTCACTCTCACCCTTTCTCTTTCTTCTGTGGTTGACTGGATTATGAACACCTCGACATCTGAGTGGAAGCACGCAGTTTGGATGCAACTAAACGATTTGAAATTTACCGATGACCTGGTCCTTCTATCCAACGCACATGAAAAAACACAGCTCAAGACAACTGGTGTAGCAGCAGCCTCTGCATCAGCAGGCCTCAACATACACAAGCGAAGAAGCATGGTCCTGAAATACAACACAAACAACACCAACCCAATCACACTTGATGGAGAAACTCTGATTTAGGTGAAAACCTTCACGTATCTCGAGTACCTTTCGGGGGGGCTACTGCCGGTCCCAAGCCCGGACAAAGGAGGGGGGTTGGGCATGGGGTTAGCGACCCCATCCCGTAGAAAACTAACTCGCTAAAATAACGCTAACCAGAAAAAAATTCAACGTACCTGGGTAGTATTATCTACAAACAAGGAGGATCTGATACAGATGTAAAGGTGAGGATTGGCAAAGTAAGGAAAGCATTCCTATAGTAGAAGAACATATGCAACTCAAAACAGCTATCAACCAATATCAAGGTCAGAATCTTCAATACGAACGTTCAGACAGTTCTACCGTACGGAGCTGAAACTTGGAGAACTACGACAACCATCATCAAAAAGGTACAAGTATATATAAACAATTGTCTACGCAAGATGCTGAATGTCTGTTAGTCAGATACCACCAGAGCACAACCTACTGTAAGGGAGAACAAACCAAATTCGAATTAGAGAGGAAATTAGGAAAAGGTGTTGGAGGTGAATAAACGTACATAACTTGGAATCCTGAGCGGAAAATATGATAATTAGGAGTAATTGAATTATAGTATGAACTAAGAATCCCATGGATAACGCAATTGAATCAAGAAGTACTACACAAGCACTAACGAATGTACTGTATTTAGAATTCGAAATCAAACATTCAACAAGTACAAAGGAGTCATTAGTTCATTCAAATACCACATCCGCCACAGCTTAAATTAGAGTCTAAGTGTCTGTAAGCAATTGTACGTCTTCTTCTCAAGTTCATACTGTGTCTGTCCGACAATGTATTGGATAAGGACTCTGTATTATCTAGAATGCACTCATTAGTATTTGAATTAACAACTGAAGTCGGAACAGACTCACCTGGTTCCTGGAATTGTATTTGATCAACATTTCGATTGTGTGTACTGAAGTTATTGATATCTAGAAGTCGCACCATAGATTTCACGACATTCTTCAGAACAATCCCCGTGGATGGTCGAAGATCATTACCACGATAATATGTAACTTCTACAGACTCTAACATCTCATATTCAACCGAAGAATTCTTCCTTTTAATAGCTTTGATGGAGTCTCTTTCGTCACCAAATGTCTGGCATCTCTATATTGCAGTAGAAGAGTATCTACTCCCCTCTTCAGCTCATTAAATGTTGAGGCAGCAATAGAATCAATAGCAGTTTTCAGTGTCCTGACAAAATTTTCCGCCTGACCATCGGTACAAGGATGTCTGGGAGCGGTAAACAAATGTCTGCACCCTATACCATTTAACCAGGTAGTGACTGCATCTGCAGCGAAATGAGAGCTATTATCAGTTACTAACACCATGGGACCCCTTCCCGACTAAACACCTTTCTTAATGCTTGAATTGTGAAGTCAGAATTTGGTGAAGTTGTGAAAAAAAATTCAGGCCACTTTGAAAAAGAATCAATAACTACAAGTGCATAGTATTTGCTAAGAAACGGACCACAATAGTTTTCATGAATTCTGTGCCAGGCTTCAAACGATACTTGCCATGGAGTCCACTTCGAATGCTGATTTTTCAGCTTATGAAACTTTTCACAATTGTTTGCCGTTCGACATGTATGTGCATTTATCTCTGGCCACCAACACGTGAGCCCCCCCCCAAGGACTTCATTTTTTCAACACCTAAATGTCCACTATGAAGATCTTCTAGGACAGATTTATGCAATGAAAGAGGAATAACAACACGATCATTCAAACACAAAATACCATCAGGAGTAGTAGATAGCTCATCCCGCTTTGAAAAATAGACAGGAAATCTACGTTTCAGATTAGCATTCCAACCTTTCCGTATAGCATTAATTATACATCCAAAGTATCTACGAGTTTCTCTAATGAGATATGGACGTTTCACTGGTAAAGGTTGCACTAACAAACAGTCTGAAGTATTTACAGGTTTATCTTATAATGACTGTCGAGAAATGTAGTCAACATGTTGAATTATTTTGGAATTCCTGTGCTGAACCGTATGGTCATGGCACTCAAAGCAATACCCCATCATTGAGCCGTAGCAGCTGAGTAACGTGCCAAGGATTTTTCAGGATGATAAATAAACTTTAAAGCCTCATGATCAGTAACAATAGTGAATTTCTTTCCGAATAAATAGTTGTGAAGTCTTTCAACAGCCAAAAACACAGCTAATGCTTCTCGCTGAGTCTGTGAATAACCTTGTTCAGTAACAGTAAGTTTGCGTGGAACACAAATAACTGGTCTACCATACTGTTCCAAAACTGCACCAATACCCACAGGTGATGCATCAGTAATAAGCACAGACTGTACACTAGGGGAGTAAGTTCGAAGAACAGCATCACTTTGAAGAAACTTTAGTAGACTACGTAAACATGACTCTTGTTCCTCACTCTTTCGAATTAATTGGATGTCAAAATATTAAATAAACAATTTGCACGACAAGAAAAATTAGGAATAAAATGGGAATAGTATTGAAGAGCACCCACAGTGAACGTAGTTCTGTAAGAATTTTTGGAGACCATAAGGAATTATTCGTTGAAGATGTCACAGGTTTTCGGAGTTTGACAACGCTTTAACCAGTAACACCTTCTAATATGAAGCGCACCCACCAAGTAAAATCAAAAGACAGAAGTGAGGAGATCGAAGATATATTTGATAAGCTATCAATATATCAAGGATCGTTTGCACTAATCTGGCTAGCGATTGAGGCAGATGTTGAGCACGGCGTTCCCACACGTGATATGGTGCGGATGCTTGACCGAGCGCCTTCAGCTAGATGAGTCCACTAAAACTGATGTCAGCATCCAATGTCGAAAACTTACAGAGCTATTTGATTTTGGGGAATTATTTACCGCTACAGATCACTCCCCCCTAGTGGGGCAGTGATGACCCTAAGACGTGGCCAGTCAGAAGTTTAAACCCAGTGAGTTGTTCGTTGGTAAGCGCTCTTCTGACAGCTCGCTAGGTTTAGCAGCGCCTGGTCGTCTTTCCTTACTATAAGGGACCATGATGTACAATATAGTAAAAAAAAGGTACAATGCAGATTTTCGTTTCTCGCAACTTCATCGTCTTTTCCAGTCGTCCTGGAAAAGAAAAGAAAAATATGTAAGTGCATGTCGGAATACACTCGTACGCGCGTGAAAACACAAAGCGGGCGAAAAACATGGAAAATAAACTCATGCTCACATAATAGCGTAAAAAAGGATTTTTATAATATCGTTATTTTTTGTTTTTTTCTTTTTTGAAATAAAAAAATAATAAAAATATGAAGCATATTAAATTCGGGTGTTTTTTAAAAGAAATTATATATAGTACAATGGAAAATCGAGACGATATAAAATGTCATCTAGTATCTTACGTGCAGTAATCGTTCAAATGTTCTGGAAATCTCACTCTTCTTCCAGAACGCGTTGTTTTGAGTTTATTTTCTGATGTCTCCGAAGTATCAACGTGTGTGTTGGCTGTCGATTGAGGTATTATAAGGGCAGGAGTTGTGTCGTGCTATTGTATTGAAGGAAAATCGACGTGAATAGGATTTCCTTCTAACTACGCTGCCTTGAGGCGATCGATGCTGATTCTATCGTTGGTTCCGTTCTTATCGATTATATAGTACTTAGGTTCGCGTTGAAGAACTTTGAAAGATCCTTCGTATGCTGATTCGAGAGGTCGTCGATGCGAGTCTCGACGTACGAAGACGTGTGTACTATATCGTAAATCAGGTTGAACGAAAACATCAGTTGATTGTGGTCGAGTGGAAACAGGTTTAACTGAACGCATTGTGTTTGTAAGCCTGTTTGCGTAGGAGGTTAGATCCATGTCCATCGAAGAGGATGAAGGATCCACGAACTCTCCTGGAAGTCGAAGGGTCGTACCATAAACGAGTTGAGATGCAGTGTATCCAATGTCAGATTTCACTGCATTGCGTATTCCTAGTAGGACGAGTGGAAAAGCGTCAGTCCACTGAGAAGTGTTTGAGGCTGATAGTGACGCTTTTAGTTGTCGGTGAAAACGTTCTACTAACCCGTTTGCTTGTGGGTGGTAGGCCGTCGTTCGCAAGCGAGTAACTCCTAGTTTCATGGTCAGACAACGGAGCAGTTCAGATTCAAACTGACGTCCACGATCTGTAGTGATTGTTGTTGGGCAGCCGAAGTTTGCTACCCATCGTTCGATGAAGGCGCGAGTCACTGTTTCAGCAGTATTGTCCTTGATGGGTACTGCTTCTGGACATCGAGTAAAATGGTCTACGCATATTAAAAGATAAGAATATCCATTCGAATCTGGTAAAGGTCCTACCAAATCCAAATGAACATGGTCGAAGCGAGCATCGGGAGTTTTAAACGAGCCTAAGGGACATTTGTTATGCCTAATAACCTTAGATTTCTGGCAGCTTACACAGGGGCGTGCCCACTCCCTCACGTCTCTATTCGTACCAGGCCAGCAAAACCGTTTGCTATAAGCTTGATGGTTGCACAAACACCTGGATGAGAAAGTTTGTGCAACGTATCGAAGACGTTGCGTCGATATTGTTTCGGCACGATTGGGCGGTCCCTACCTGTAGATGTGTCACAAAGTAAGGTTTCCTTACCCGTTCCCATCTGTTTAATGCGCAGTTTAAGTGTTGTTGAGGCCAACTCGTGCTGAAGATCACTGTCTTCTTTTTGAAGCTGGGCGAGTTTTAAAAGGTCGATTCCTTGGGAACTGTTCAAGGAATTTATACGAGACAAGGCGTCTGCAACTACATTGTTTGCTCCAGAAATGTGTCGAATATCTGAAGTAAACTGCGAAATGTAGTCCAGTTGTCGAGACTCACGTGGTGAGTACTTGTCCGAAGAAGAGCTTAAGGAGAAGGTAAGTGGTTTATGGTCGGTAAAAATGGTAAATTCACGGCCTTCGATGTAGTGTTGAAAATGCCGGACAGCACGATACATATCTAGGAGTTCCCTACCGAATGTGCTGTACCTCGATTCAGTGTCTAGCAACCGTCTAGAGAAAAATGCCAAAGGTTGCCAGGAGTGGTTAACCCATTGTTGTAAGACTGCTCCGATTGCTGAGTCGGATGCGTCTACTGCGATGCTAATGGGCGCTTTAGGGTCCTGATGAGCAAGCATTGCTGCTCGGGCGATATGTTTCTTAACCGTGGAGAATGCTTTTCGGGTAGTGTCATCTAGATTAATGGATTTCGCATTTCCGCGAAGTTGGTCGGTAAGGGGTTTCATAAGTAACGCGCATTTCGGTATGAATCGTCTATAAAAACCTACCAGACCGTTAAACGTGCGCAATTGCTTGATGGTGGTCGGTCTTGGGTAATCCAGAATGGCCGCCACTTTTGTTCTAAGGGGTCGAATGACTTGCGCATCTATAGTGTGTCCTAAGAAGTCTAAGGATTCGGTTCCGATTTGGCATTTCTGAATGTTTACGGTAATGCCATGCTTTTGTAGTCGGTCGAAAACAAGGTCCAGATGCTGGAGATGTGATTCTCTGTCCGGACTTGCTATTAGGTAGTCATCAACGTATGCATGTACGAAGTTGAGATCTCGAAAAACGTCATCTATGAACCTTTGGAAAGTCTGTGCCGCGTTTCTCAGACCGAAAGGCATTCGCAAAAATTCATAGAGTCCGAAGGGCGTTATAATAGCGGTTTTTGGAATGTCTTCAGTGGCCATAGGAATTTGGTTATAAGCTTTTACCAAGTCGATTTTTGAAAAGACAGTTGCACCTTTCAAGGTAGCTGTCAAATCGTGAATGTGGGGCAACGGGTAACGATCGGGAATGGTTTTTGCATTCAATCTCCGATAGTCACCTGTTGGACGCCAATCGTTGCTGTCCTTTTTAGGGACCATGTGCAACGGAGATGCCCATGGGCTATTTGACGGTCGTATGATTCCTAAGTTTATCATATGGTCGAATTCGTTTTTCGCCAACCTTAACTTTTCGGGGGCCAGTCGGCGTGCTTTCGAGAAGACAGGTGGTCCTGTAGTCGTGATGTGATGTGTAACATTGCTGGTTACACACAGCAATTTCGGTTGTGATTGGTAAATGCCAGAATATTTATCGAGTAGTGGTTGGTAGAAGGGGTCTATAGTGTGCTTAATAGTGACTAGAGATAACCTGCAACCAGAAAAAGAAGTCAGGCAAACAGATAAATTAGTGTTTCCGTCTACTAGCCTCCGTTTGCGCGTACCGATAATTAAGTGGTGGTGTTGTAGAAGGTCCATACTAATGATTGGCATAGAAACATCTGCAACAGCAAAGATCCAGTGAATGGGTTAAGATAAACATACCTTTCGCCATACGTAGCGATAGGCTTTACGTTTGCCGCCTGTAGATTTAAAACCGGCTCGTGTAGCTGGTCGTTGGAATTCGCTGGGAGAACGCTAACCTCTGCGCCAGTATCGACGAGGTGGCGAACTCTCGTTATCACATCAGTGACATATAAAAGACGGCTATGTTCGTCGGCTACGGTCGCCGTTAACGCGTGCCGGCTTGGAAGTTTCCCGAAACGTTCTTCGCGTCGACCGATTTCGCGCTGGGAAAATTGCAGGGTTTTCTGCAATTTCTGGCGGACTTTCCGTACTGGTTATGGTAGCAGCACCAATCAGGATTATCCGTCCCTCGAGTTCTAGATACAGATCGCCTACGTGATGTGCTTCTCCACGGAGTACGTGATCGTTTACGGTCGTTACAGAGTTTGAGATAACGCGTAAGTGTATGACATAACTGTGTTATGTCATTCTGGGTCGTTTGAGGCTTTTCTTTTACTGAAAAAACCTCGGCTTTAGAAGATCTAGTGATTTCGAGAATGCGGTCGGCAGTTGCAGCTAGCTCGTCTACGGCGTTGTTTTGGAACGAGACCAAAACAGCTTGCACCTGTTCAGGAAGTTTGGATAAGAAAAGTTGTTTGAATAGGTCGTCATCGAAGGTTCTTTGGCCAATGACTTCTCGCATTCTTTGCAACATGTCTGTGGCAGAACCGTGTTGCAGGCCGATGTTGTTGAGGAGTTGGTCTAACCTTTATCGATCGGTTAGATCTCCGCGTTTGAGGATGACATGTTTCAGGGTTTGGTATGGGTCAGAAACATCACTAGTAAACATACTAGGTGTTACGTACCTGTTAAATTCGCGCGGTAGTGCCTTGACTACTGCGAGGAATTGTGTACGCGCATCGTTCACACCGTGCTCGAAGAAGTCGGCTTCTGCGTAACAAAACCAGCCTTCGATGTTGTCTGGCCAGAAAGGCATAAGTTGGAAAGAAAGTGGGAACACAGTCTTTAACTTAAATACTTTAGGGGTCTGTTCAGTCATAGTAATATATCAAGTACGAAAAGTGAACGAGTGGGAAATATATATATAAACCCAAAAACACGGGAAAAAATATCACAATGTTAAAAAAAGATTAAAATAAGACAATGATATGTAAAATCACAAAAAGAAACAGACTCACAGTTTACAATATGGTGTACCAATGAAGATGCCACAGGTATTCGGAGTTTGACAACGCTTTAACCAGTAACACCTTCTAATATGAAGCGCACCCACCAAGTAAAATCAAAAGACAGAAGTGAGGAGATCGAAGATATATTTGATAAGCTATCAATATATCAAGGATCGTTTGCACTAATCTGGCTAGCGATTGAGGCAGATGTTGAGCACGGCGTTCCCACACGTGATATGGTGCGGATGCTTGACCGAGCGCCTTCAGCTAGATGAGTCCACTAAAACTGATGTCAGCATCCAATGTCGAAAACTTACAGTCTTTTAAGAAAGACTGGATCACCCTGTACTTGAAGTTTTATAGGCTGAATTTTCATACCTCCACTGCACTTAGCACACGTGGCTATCAAATCTTTAAGTAAAGCATCATTATTTTTTTTAGAAATTACGAAAGACAGCTCCACTTGAAGCCTTTTCAAATTCCTTAAGCCCAGTATTGACAGTCCTGTTTCGCTAACTAAAAATTCACAAGGTATGTATGAAGAATTATCATCTCTTATTAGCAACTCACAACATCCTCATATAGGCAGTCTGTGTCCAGTAATCCCCAATATTGATACCTCAGTGGGTCGTACCACAACGTTAGGATCTAAAGATTTCAAGTTCTTGAATGAAATAATGGACTCTATGCTGCCTGTGTCCACAATAAAGTCATGACATGAACTATGAGATGTATATAATCGCTTTTGAATATGAGTATTACCTTTCGAAATGGTAGACAAAGATAAATGATCATTAAGAACAGCTGAATTATTGGGATCTATATTACAGGATTTATTACTACTTGAGGCAAAATGAACAGTAGCTTTGCATACTGTTTGAATGTGTCCTATCTTACCACATCTAAAACATTTAGCATTACGAAATGCACATGAATTACGAGAATGAAGTTTTCCACATGATAAACATTTGCCAAACTTGGTCTCACCTTTGTGATTTCCTTTGTAATTCCTTGTTGAAACACCTTTCATATTTACACGGGAATAGGAGCCACTGTTAAACGAACGCAATTTTGATTGACCCTGAAATTGTATTCCATCATGACGACTAAGCAAAGTATTAGAAATATTCATTGACTGGATATCAAGTTCATTCACTGCATCGTAGTTAATACACGCAGTTCTAGCATCTTGAAAGGAACAGTTGGGCATTCTTAACAGCTCTCTTTCAAAACCCGATATGTTGATTCCTGCGATTAATCGGTCTCTCAGTTGCACATGAAGTTGATCACCAAAATTACATTTGGCAGCTTGTTTCTGCAATTCAAGGATGAATTTCTTAACCTTTTGGTCATTTCGACAAGTCATCTTATGAAATTTTGCACTTTCACGGCATTCAAAACTAGTGCACTTTACATGATTCAATAATAACTCCTTAATTGTTGCATAAGTAAGTGAGATAGGTTTTTCTGGATATGCCAAAGTTTTCAATAAGCTGTATGCTTCTTTTCCGATGAATGTCAGGAAATGTGCCACAATCTTATCACCTTTAACATCCTTCTTGGTCATGCTCCAAATTTAAAACCTTTCTAAATAATCCTCAAAAGCTTCAGAAGTTGAATGAATATCTAACTGTTCCAACGCAGGCTCCATCGCGACGCCAATATGATAACTAGGAGTAGTTGAATTATAGTATGAACTAAGAATCCCATGGATAACGCAATTGAATCAAGAAGTACTACACAAGCACTAACGAATGTACTGTATTTAGAATTCGAAATCAAACATTCAACAAGTACAAAGGAGTCATTAGTTCATTCAAACACCACAGAAAATGAAAAGAAGAAGACCAAAGTACACACTACATTGGGAATTGGAAGCAGACATGAGAAGGATCAATAGCAACTGGAAACAAATGAAAAGGATTTTCCAGGATATTGTTCGATTGAGAACGCTGATGGGCGGTCTGTTCTTCTTTACGAGGGGTAACAGAATTAAACAAGTAAGCACTTCCTGTATTAGGTTTTATAATGATTAAGTCATGACACATTATTTTTAATAGTATTTGGTTACTTCGGTATGATTAATAATGTCCGCTCGTGGTGTAAACAAAATAATAGGGTGAATAGTTGTGTTTCGGCCATCATAAGTCAATTGAAACATCCATGTCAATACCAAACGAGTCATGTAACCTAGTCCATAATCAGCAAATGTTAACTGAGCTAAATCCTATAGTGATCTTTACTTTAATAATCAGCCACATATCTTTTAGTGTTTTGTAGCCTTTGAAAGATATGCTTATCACGTGAACGTACGTTGTTGTTGTTTGTTAAGAGAATATGAAAATAAATGTGCATGCAATAATCTGGGAAAGATAAGGGCCAAAAAATAAGGACTAATGGCAGTAAATACATAGTTATGTGTATTGAAACAATGTGTCGTAATTACCATTTTACACTATCAGACCAGACAATAAAGAATTTTTAACTTTTTAATGGAAAATTGACTAATGGATTATTCACGTAAAAACATGAAACACCGTAGGAGATGGTACTACTTAAAGTTAGAACTCACCGCATTATTTCAAAGTGTAGTGAATACATTTTTCTTGTCCTGATAGTGGGAAGTTTATCTGTGCATTGTCGTACACATATAATAGGCAAAGTAGATAATCAGATTGCAGCGAGTTGGTTAGTTTAAAGTTTTTAATCACAGAATAACTTACATTGGTATAAAAATATTTCTAGATAAAGCGAATTATTATTTTGTGTTTATTGAAATTTCTTATACAGTGCAGACCTAAAGGTTACTGTAAAAACAAAATAACAATCTTTGCATCTGTCGGTAAATATTTTTTAATACTTAAATATCCATTCAATGAATGTTTTCATTACAGTAGTACTTAATGCACACTCTTTTTGAGCAGAAATAAGTTCCGTTTGTATACATCTCTATACAACAAAATAGAGAACAATTCAAGAATATTTCATATGTAGTTAGTATTTAAAAGCATATAAAAGATATTGATTTGTGTAATATGTATGACTTAGTAAATACAATCCCCTTCATATAAACTAACTTTAAAAAAAAAGAAATGTGAATCAAACCTTTCGTTTAAACCATTTTTTACATTAAATGGTAAGCTACAACTGTTACAGTATATATATATATATATATATATATATATATATATATATATATATACTAACATGCACTATGATAACATTGACAATAAAACTCAAATCCTCCCACGTTAAAATAGCTACTACAAACTTTTGAGTGGCTTCAACAAATTGTTTGAGGTGTTATTCTCAATATAGCCAAGCTAAATAAATAAATAAAACACGATTCATTCATGAATGTTTCTAATGATCGACGTAGTACTTAAATTTTAGGCCTGGACGGCCGTTTCGTTCTAGTACAGGGCTCTTCAGCGGCGGGCACTCACGATTCCGCACACAAACTCGAACCCAGGACTTTCGATCTCGAGCGAATGCTTAACGTCAAGGTTACTGAAACAGGATTCAACAATTTTAATGTCTAAACCCAACCAGTCTACGATTCTGTGATTGGTTCAAGTTGGACATGATTCATGATCTCAATAGAAATTCAAAAATCTCCACAACCCTATAGTGGTACTTAAATGTCAGTATACTGAAGATCTGTGAAGCAATTTGTAACAATGCTAATTACTACTTATGATATGGTTGTTTGTTGTTACAGGAAACACTGATACTTGTTATTGATTAAGTTGAACAAAACTACTAGATTTTCTTATGTATCAACCACTGGTTCACAACTGATCAACAACTGACTAACGTGACATCAAAATTTATAGTCAGTAAATAAATTTGGATATATTGAGTGAGTAGTAGTTAAGATTATTCAATCAATAATTTAGTGTGTATATAATTTACAAAATCAATAATTTAATTATCTTAGCTGACAGATACAACTTATTAGTGAATTATATATTTATTTCCGTTTTAACAGCAACAAATACAACTGACCTACCACACTGCAAATACAGAATATCTGCCATCACTCAAGCCCTTAAAGGTAGTTGGAAACGAAAAGGAATTGAATTTAATAGGTTTTAACTTTCATAGTCATTCACAAATACCCTGGTATGGACGAAGGATGGCAGAGTTCTCTGTCCCTCTTTAAATACTTTGATATGATCACAAGTAAACAACCACTCCCGAAGGAGTTCTACTCACTATCTTCTCAAGGCGGGATGTGTTTTACAAAATTAGGAGAACGAAAAGCGAATATCTGGCGGCTAAACGGGGGTAGTGGGCACAGAAGATCCACCTAAGGGAGTAAGAAAATCATGGTTTCAAACCAATGGTGTACATGGGCTCCTGGTTCCTGAAGAACAAATGGCTTATGAACCGATTCTTTGTCGCCAGCTACCACAGGACTCCATCTCTTATTGTTGATCTATCGTATTGTGGATTTGACCTATAAGTCAGTCTCGCGAAGTGGTCTCCTTAGAAAACCACCTGCTTTGGTTTGGGAGCCAGGACAGTATACCATCACTCACACAAAGTAACTGACTTCTGTGTGGCGCATATAAATCTGGTGCCCCTGTAGCGTGGCATCGAGTCGCGTTTGACTATGATCACCATTACAAGAAGGCTGCGTACCAGATATCAGAAGGCAGTTGGAGGTTGTAGCGAAATATATTTGTTGGCGATATCGTGGTATCAAAGAATGTCGAGATCGTGCCGAAGGAGTACAAGCGGAATCCCTGAGCAAACGTAAGAGCGCGCAAGGTCACAATCAATGGAAGGAAGAATGTCTTTAGTACAGTCAAACAAACAAGTACAGTAAAACAATCACCGGTACAATTGGTTATGATAGTAATTGTTTCCATTACACCAATCGCGTTCTTTTGATGAAGGCAGATCACTACACCCCCTTGTACCAATGTTTATGTGTGTAAGTCGATTAGTGTTGCTGAATCTAAATGAAAACTACTCACGAATCTTTATTGTTTAGGGATCGATTCGTACAAAAAGCGAACACCAGACTTCCTTATGAATTGTTCTCATGTTTTCCCTTCAAGCATATCTAACTTTTCATAATACCCTCATAACTTTTCATACAAGTTAGCAACCAAAACTCTGATAATTCACCGTTCGTTTGTCTGTGTGAAATTAAGTATCAAAGACGAAGATATGTCAGAAAGCGTTTTTGTAGGGACACAATTTAAAGATTAATCACAAACAAACATCCATATTCGTTATTAGTATCAAAAATCGAAGCGTACATAGAATGGGACATCTACAATTTATACAGAAAAAATGGAACAAAATATTTATGATTACAAGTTACTATTTGTCATCATCATTTATCTATCAAGAGTTATCGAAAGTTACTTATCGCTAAAAATTTAATCTTTAAGCATCGGACTTCATAATTTCTACCGGCTTTATAACTAATAGAAATCTTATTCTAATTACTTGTGAGCAGTCTGATTCATTTTTACCATTTTTAAAATCTAATTAGAAGGTAAATCAATGGTTTACAACAAAATGAAATTTGAAAATTCACTTTTATATAATCACTAAGACGAATGCAATTATCTACGTGACATTTATGACCTAAGAAACAAAAGCCGATTAAATTAGCAATTCATAGTTTCATCTTTTTAAGGCATCTACTTAGGTATACATGATTCAGTCTCAAAGTATATATAATTGGCAACCAACACCAAAGTCAGAATTTTCAATACAAATGTCAAGACAGTTCTACTGTATGGGGCCGAAACCTGGTAAACCACGAAAGCCATCATCCAGAAGATACAGGTGTTTGTTAATAGTTGTCTACGCAAAATACTTCGGATCCGTTGGCCAGACACTATTAGCAACAACCTACTGTGGGAGAGAACAAATCAGATCCCAGTGGAGGAAGAAATCAGGAAGAAGCGCTGGAAGTGGATAGGACACACATTGAGGAAAGCACCAAACTGCGTCACAACGCAAGCCCTCACATGGAATCCTCAAGGCCGAAGGAGGAGAGGAAGACCAAAGAACACATTACGCCGGGAAATGGAGCTAGACATGAGAAAAATGAACAAGAATTGGATGGAACTAGAAAAGAAGGCCCAGGACAGAGTGGGTTGGAGAATGCTGGTCGGCGGCCTATGCCCCATTGGGAGTAACAGGCGTAAGTAATATATATATATCCTATAAGAGACTAATTTTACGTTGGCCTCCAAAAGAAGTAGATCGAATAAAGAGCGTCATTGTACACAAAGCACTCATCATTTCATATAAACACCACAGTTGGATTCTTAACCGAAGTCATTGTTGCATTAGATAATTTGCACCCAAAACTGTGATTATATTATTTAGTTACTAATTCGGACAACGAAATGCATTTCAGTGAAATAGGATACACCGAGTGCATGAGAATGTATTGTTCAGCTAACACTTTAACAATTTATGAACTCCAAACCCCTGTAATGCAGAGTATTGTCACGTATTTATCCATTTATTACTTGAAAAACTTCATAGATTGAGTTCGATTAGCATTAAGGGGTAACTGACAATGAAATTAGTCAATATTCAGGGATTAGTCAGTGCAAATATCTCAATCATACAGAAGGTCAGTATCTGTACAAAGAGCTCAGTGGTAA